ATTATTTAAATGGCACACACATTAAAACTTGATCCCCAGAAGTTTTGTAAAATTCCCCAAAAATACACAGTATAAAGCTTTTGCCTTAACTGCAGTTCTATAGCAATAGTCAGTATTGATATTAACAGCTTCAATAATATTTAAAAAACACAGTATTTTGGCAAAAACAGCAGATGTATAGAAGCAACTCTTAGATTTGAAGTTTTAGAAGTTTTGCACTTGTGGTACCTCATTTCTTTTTCCCCTTTTTGTATCTTTTATACTTTTACAAACATTATTTCAGCAACTTTAACACTTAACACCATTTTCTGTGTTGTTTTTAACACAGAAAATTTGTTAAGGAGCATAAGACGTGTTCACAACAAAAACCATCATAATATCTAAGCATAAGCTAAAACCTTCATATCAGGAGTGTTCATCATGGTACTGGGAACAGAACCTCTTTCCCAGGAGTATTTTACCTTCTATGTCTCAACTGATAACATGACCGCAATGAGCACAGTATTCACATAAACAACTATGAAATAAACACAAGTGAGGAAAACACAGCGATCTTTGACTAGCATAACACACACACAGATGCAGAGTCTGGCTGTGAACACTGCCAGAGAACTTAGTTGACACAGAACAAAACAGACACACACAAACATCCAATCAACCCACACACTTCACTTTTTCATCACACAATGGTATACCCTTTCACACGCGTTTGAAGTCAAAGTCAGTCACTGGAGTCAGTCAGAAGTCTTCTATTTTAATTCTTGTTTTGATTTCTTCAATTTTTTTCCAATTTGTGTGATTTTTTTCAATTTGTGTGTTTCTTCTACAATTGGTCAGGAGATATGGGACGTGCTTGTTCAATTGGGATCCCTGAATAGGCTTTTCAGCCTGTCCTTATTGACCTCTTTTTCTATCTCCTGCTCATCAAGCCAATCTGTGTCTGTAATTTAAGTCCAATTATAACACTGATTTTGTGAGGTCTTTGACCTATAAAAGAGATATATATATGTGCATTTCAAATATCTACTATTCCGTCATTATACTTATTCGGCCCTCTAGAGTTCTGGATCAGAATTTATGAGGAAATATGCCACTTTCGTTCTCCTTTTGGCTTTTTCTTAAGCCTCAGCGGAACTCTGCATGACAAATCCTTCTTTCTAGTGGAGTTTTCCAGAAAGAAAATCCACGTATGTATTACGAGATGAATCTGCTCGTCCATCGGCTGCCACCTTTCAGAGCTCATGAAAGATGGTCTAAAACTCACAGTTCAACAATGGACAGACACACTCGTGTCTGCCGCTCCCCTTGTTATCCCAAAAATTACCCAGAACCTTTTGTCTCCAGGCATTCAGCCTAAAAAAAAACACATCACAACCCGGGCCCGGCTGTTTCCCCAAGCTACTGGCCAGTGCTTTTCTGCACCCAGCCTATAGCTTCACATATGACAATCTCACACTTATAGCAGCGTGAGGCGGTCTCACCCTTTCAGGAAGACGAAGTGCTTCTGCACCCAGCCTATAGCTTCTCACACATAGAACAGCCTATGGCTTCTACATATGGCATCTCACACATGCAGCAGCCTATAGCTCTACATGTGGCATTCCTCATATGCAGCAGCCTATAGCTCTACATGTGGCATTCCTCATATGCAGCAGCCTATAGCTCTACATGTGGCATCCCTCATATGCAGCAGCCTATAGCTCTACATGTGGCATTCCTCATATGCAGCAGCCTATAGCTCTACATGTGGCATCCCTCATATGCAGCAGCCTATAGCTCTACATGTGGCATTCCTCATATGCAGCAGCCTATAGCTCCACATATGGCATTCATCACATGCAGCAGCCTATAGCTCCTCATATGGCATTCATCACATGCAGCAGCCTATAGCTCCTCATATGGCATTCATCACATGCAGCAGCCTATAGCTCTGCATATGGCATTCATCACATGCAGCAGCCTATAGCTCCTCATATGGCATCTCACACATGTAACAGCGTGAGGCGATCTCACCCTTTGAAGGAGACGAAGTGCTTCTCTGCACCCAGTCTACTATCTTCACATAGTCTCACGCATGTAGCAGCGTGAGGCGGTCTGACACAACCAACTGCAGTTTCTCTTAATTCAGCTGATATATATATCCAATTTAAATTGGCTTCCTTTCCCAAATTTTCCCAAATACTTTGATCAGCTGACTGCATGCATGCAGTTTTCTCAGACTGTCTTCATTCCCACTGTCTCCTCTTATTTCTATTCTAGGTTCTTTGATTCGAAGAGGACAGAGAGCAGTAGTCTGCACCACCTCACAGGGAGAAGAACCCTCAACCAAATTTTAGGAAATCTCCTACCTTTTTCTTTTTTGTGCGCACAGAGTGTCCTTATCCCATGTGGAGTTCGCAGAACCATGGTCCCTTGTCCCCCGAAACGAATTCTGGCTAAAGCTCGCCAATTATGTTGTGGAAAGTCCAGCATAATCAATGCACAGGAGACATGATGAGATCTGAAGAACAGCCTGGGGCGTCTCAGTCTCAGCTTGACATAGAAATCAGGGAGCATAGCCACAGCTCTACACGTTCCTCTGTACTTTTGTTAGAGCAGCCTCCTAGCTACTGTCACTTTAATATAGAGACCGTGTCTGTCCCTCGTACTCGGCTCTCAAATTCTAACCGATCAATTAAAAAAGGAGTAAATAACAAGAACCTTACTAGAATTAAGACTGTTAACATAGCTGAACCAAGTACTAGTAAGATAAAATGTGGTCTACTGAATATAAGGTCTCTAAATTCAAAATCTGTGTTAATAAATGAACTAATCTCTGATCATCGCATTGATTTACTCTCCCTAACTGAAACATGGCTGTGTAAGGATGAATATGTAAGTTTAAATGAATCCACTCCTCCTAGCCACCTAAACTTTCACATTCCTCGAGACTCTGGCCGAGGTGGTGGAGTTGCAGCTATCTACAATTCCAGTCTTAGAATTAACCCAAGACCAAAACTAGTTTATAACTCTTTTGAAAGTCTCGTTCTCAGTCTCCCGCATCCAGCCTCAAAGTCCATGAGACCACTGGTATTTGCTATAGTTTACCGCCCTCCGAGCCCATACTCCGAGTTTTTGTCAGAGTTCTCAGAGTTCCTATCCGAATTAGTCCTTCTCGCAGATAAAGTCATCGTCGTCGGTGACTTTAATATTCACGTAGATGTAGAAAATGATAGCCTAAGCATTTCTTTTCGGTCCTTGCTAGATTCAATTGGGTTTACACAGTGTGTACACAGACCTACGCACTGCTTTAACCACACTCTCGATCTCGTCCTGGCTTATGGCCTCGAAACTGAAGCCCTGTTAGTCAGCTCATTAAATCCTGTATTATCTGATCACTGTCTAGTAACTTTTGAATTTGTGCTTTCAGGTTACTCTCCTCACAACAAAGCCGTGCTAACTAGAAGGTTGTCTGAAAATGCTGTTACTAAGTTCAAGGAGGTAATTCCGTCTGCTCTAAATTCTGTAGTTGAGAAAAACTTCACTGATAGCTCATATTTAAACATCAGTCCCTTGCAACTCGACCAGTTTGTTGATGATACCTCAGACACACTGCGATCAGTTCTAGACTCAGTTGCCCCTCTTTGACAAAAAACTCTTACACACGAGAGGCTAGCCCCGTGGTATAATGCTGAAACCCGTGAGCTGAAACAGTTATTAAGAAAATGTGAAAGGATTTGGCGCTCCTCCAAAACAGCTGAAGCTCGTTTTCTCTGGCAGGAATGTCTCGATAAATATAAGAAAGCCCTACGACGTGCTCGGACAACCTACTACTCGTCTCTTATTGAGGAAAATAAGAATAACCCCAGATATCTCTTCAGCACTGTAGCCAGGCTGACAGACTGTCAGAGCACCACTGAACCATGTATCCCTTTAGCCCTTAGCAGCAACGACTTCCTGAGCTTCTTCAACGATAAAATCTTAAAAATAAGAGGTAAAATTAGTAACCTATTTACTCCATCAAGTGTCTCTCTCTCAGATAACCCTAAAAATGTTGAGGAGCCCCTAAGGCCTCTGGTGCACCTTAGTAATTTTGTACCTATTGACCTTCCTGAGTTAAAGTCAGTGGTGCTAGCAGCCAAACCATCGACGTGTCTCTTAGACCCAATTCCATCTAAATTGCTGAAGGAAACTCTTCCTTTGATTAGTACGTCCCTGCTCAAATTGATTAACACGTCTTTATTAACAGGATATGTTCCCCAGTCTTTCAAGACTGCATTGATTAAGCCTCTCCTTAAAAAACCTACTCTGGACTCAAGCTCCCTAGCTAACTATAGACCAATATCCAACCTTCCTTTTATTTCTAAAATCCTAGAGAAAGTTGTTGCGAATCAACTCTGTGATTTTCTCCATAACAACGGTTTATTAGAGGATTTCCAGTCTGGGTTTAGAACCCATCACAGCACAGAGACTGCTCTGCTAAAGGTGTCAAATGACCTACTCATGGCCTCGGACAATGGTTTTCTCTCTGTTCTAGTCCTGTTAGATCTTAGTGCAGCATTTGACACAATTGACCACTCCATCCTGCTTCAGAGACTAGAACAATCTATAGGCATAGCAGGATCAGCTCTCTCCTGGTTTAAATCGTACCTAACAGATCGATCCCAGTTTGTCAATGTAAATAATGAATTCTCTGCACACACCAAGGTCTGCTACGGTGTGCCGCAAGGGTCAGTGCTCGGTCCAATCCTCTTCACCCTGTACATGATTCCGCTGGGTAAAATTATGAGTAAGTACTCGATTAATTTCCATTGTTATGCAGATGACACCCAGCTATACCTATCCATAAAGCCAGAGGAAGCAGGCCAGGTTGCTAGGTTAGAAGCCTGCCTCAAAGATATAAAATCCTGGATGACCAATAACTTTTTAATGCTCAACTCAGACAAAACTGAAGTTCTGGTCCTCGGTCCTAAACACCTTAGAGAGGCGTTCTCTAGTAATTTAGCTACATTAGATGGTATCAGCCTGGCATCCAGCCCCACTGTGCGAAATCTAGGAGTTGTATTTGATCAGGATTTATCTTTTAGCTCCCACATTCAACAAATTTCCAGGACAGCCTTTTTCCACCTGCGCAATATCTCAAAAATTAGACGCATATTGTCTCAGAGCGATGCAGAAAAACTAGTCCATGCCTTTGTTACCTCTAGGCTGGATTACTGTAATTCTCTCCTATCAGGCTGCTCTAGTAAGTCATTAAGGACTCTTCAGCTGGTCCAAAATGCAGCAGCTCGGGTATTGACTAGAACTAGAAGAAGGGAGCACATCTCTCCTGTTTTAGCCTATCTTCACTGGCTCCCTATTAAATATTGAATTGAGTTTAAAATCCTCCTTGTGACATATAAAGCGCTTAATGGCCAGGCGCCATCATATCTCGACGAGCTTGTTATACCGTACTTTCCATCTAGACCGTTACGCTCACAGTCTGCAGGTCTGCTCGTTGTACCAAATGTCTCTAAAAGTAGTATTGGAGGAAGAGCTTTCAGCTACCAGGCACCTCTTCTCTGGAATCATTTACCGCTCGAGGTTCGGGGGGCAGACACACTCTCAACTTTCAAGAGTAGACTTAAAACGTTCCTCTTTGATAAAGCCTATAGTCAGGGCTGATTTGAACCAGCTCTTAGTTATGCTGCTATAGGCCTAGACTGCCGGGGCTATCTGGCACACTGAGCTAGAGTCTGTCTCTATCTCCTCTTTAGATCTTTATGTCCCATATAAGTCACTGACCAGTTTTCTGTCTCTCTGAGTGTCTCTGAGTCTTTTAGCTGCCACTGGACTAATGCTGCAAACGGTCTGCTGCGGAACCGCCTGACCCCAGCTGCATCCACCCTGGGCCCTGAGCTCCTCCAACTCTTTGGCTCTTTGGCTCCTCTGGACCGTTGCTGCAGACCCCCCCCCCCCCCTGGCCCTGAGCTCCTTCTTCTCTCTGATTCCTCTGGACTGCTGCTGTTACTGTTACTGCAGACATGAACATCAGCCTCACTGTCATTATTGACATTAATAATACAAAATAGAACTGACTACGATTAAGCCTGCTAACTGTAATCGCACTCAATTAATTCAACATTGTCCATTATCACTCATATCCTAAACCTGTAAACTGAACTTCTTTTTGTTTCACCATTACATGAGCTGTTGTTGTTGTTGCTGTTGTTCCTGCTGCCTCCTGTCTCTCTCTCACCCTCGTTCCCTACTCTCTCTCCCTCCCCCTCCCTCTCCGTACTAATTCTCTCTCGCCTTTCCCCTACCTTGTTGTCTCTCTCCCTCCCCCTGTCCTCTCCCCCTCTCCCCTCTTCTCTCTACATTCCTCCCCAACCCAGCAGCGGCATGGTGGCTGTCTAGCATGAGGCTGGTCCTGCCCAAGGTTTCTGCCTGTTAAAAGGAAGTTTTTCCTTGCCACTGTAACTCATGTTAGTTGAGATGGGCCAAAACCCATCTTAGGTTGGTTCTTGATCATCAAACAATGAGCGTGGTCCAGACCTGCTCTTGTTCCTTGAAAAGCGTCTTGAGATGACGACTGTTGTGAATTGGCGCTATATAAATAAAATTTGATTGATTGATTGATTTGATATCTGTCTGTCCCTCATATAAAGGTCCCTAAGCCCCTTCCACCGCTTGCGGCACACATCCACTGCAAAGACACACACACATACGTTGAAACATGTAGCCTAGCAAGCAGGGGCAGTTAGCTATGTTTTCATAAAACAGTCCGCTCACTGAAATAAATAAATAAACAAACAAGCTTACCAGAAAGCCCGACATCATGGGCCACCTTCCCCCATGCTTCTTCTTTGGCGTTGCGGTCCCGGTACAGCCCGCAACCCACGTCGTATAGCACCGGGTGGTAGCTAACGGATGTGATTAACTGCTCCTCCATTCCTCTTCTCCTCTTCCTTGTTTCGCCGGTTTGTTGACCTCAGCAGAGCCCTGATTGGCTGTCGCGGCACAGAGTCGCTCCCAAAGTTCAAATATTTGAACTTTGGGAGCGACGCGACTTGGCGTCCTGCGACCTTGGGGACGCGCCTTGGCGACCGGTCGCTAGGTCGCGTCAGGTCGCGTCGCAGGCAGCCGGCGGTCGCCAAGTCGCGTCAGGTCGCGGCTGGCCATAGACTTTGCATTGGGAGCCGTCGCCAAGTCGCGGCTGGTCTGAACGCCCCTTTCTTCTTCTCTTCCTTGTTTCACCGGTTTGTTGACGTCAGCAGAGCCCTGATTGGCTGTCGCGGCACGGAGTCGCTACCAAAGTTCAAATATTTGAACTTTGGGACCGATGTGACTTGGCGTCCTGCGACCTCGGTGACGCGACCTCGGGGACGCGCCTTGGCAACCGGTTGCTTGGTCGCGTCAGGTTGCGTCGCAGGCAGCCAGCGGTCGCCAAGTCGCGTCAGGTCGTGGATGGCCATAGACTTTGCATTGGGAGCCGTTGCCAAGTCGCGTCAGGTCGCGGCTGGTCTGAACGCCCCTTCACTCTAGCCTCTCCAATACACCCATTATAAAGCCTGAAAATTTGCTGAAAAGCACAAGTTGCCTAAAGCTTAATTGTGGAAAAACTGTAAAAGATATCAAAAAACTGAGTACAACTTTAATAGTCGACAAGTGAATGAACATTTTAAAGCAAAAATGAGGTCTCTAGTTGAAAGTATGCTGAAGTTATAAGGCTTTGAAGGTGGAAGAGTAAAAGGTAGAATTTTAAGATTTCCCCATTGACTTCAATGTTAAAATTTTTGCACAAAAAGTTAAAAAAATCATAAAGTATAAAGGGTAGAAAAAAGAAAAATACATCCGCATGCGTGGAAATGCTGAATGCTGAAAACTGAAAAGCAAAACTGTGAAAAAAATGGAGGAAAGTATACATGTAAAATGTAAATGTTGAAGAGTTGAAGTGTAAGAAATAGAAGTTGTATGAATGTTTAAACAGTAACAGAACTGAAGAAGAAGAAGATAATGAAAAAGAAATAGAAGTTGTATGAATGAAAAAAAAACTTGGTAAGATAAAGTAGAAGTTCTATGAATGTTAAAATTGTTAAAGAACTGAATTTGAACATTGCAGCAAATATGGTAAAGAATTTTAAAGATGGCTAAAAAGGCCTTCATGATGAAAGAAGTAGAAAAAAAATGTAAATGACACATGAACACATTACACAATATATTTAATTTACAATTTACATCAACTTGAAAAAATCAAACTGAGTTTTCATATAAGTGAAACTGAAAGAAAGAAAAAAAGAAAAATATTATTGTCAATCCTGTAACATTTTGTGTGCAATGAAATGATAAATCAAAAACCATATAAAAAAACAAAACATAAACATATAAAGAAACAACATTCTATAGTACCTTGATTTAAAGTATGAACTCTTTGTTTGTAAACAGGTTTTGTAAGCAGAAATCTTTACATGGGTGACCAATTTTAAGATTGGAGTTGCTGTGATTGTTGATGGACAAAGGTATCACATTTGTTTCTAATATTGTTCAGCCCATTAAAGGCTCTTCACATGGTGGTTAGACTGAGGCTAGGGTTAGGGTTAGGGTTGGAGCTAGGGTTAGGGTTAGGATTATGGAAAAAGGGGGACTGTCTCCTAGAATAGGAGACAGGAGGTGCACGGTCCATCCCCCTGTTCCCTGTTCCCTGTTCCCCATCCCCCACGACCCCGTTTGGTACTGCTGATTAGTGCGGTACGGACGTTGACCACGCCTTCTCCCGTATCGCACTTCAGTCCATTGTTCTTGGTCGTAAGTCATGATTGTTGTTTTAACCTTTTTAATTATTTATTGTTATTTATTAATGTGGTGTATCTATGAAACTATTTATTTATTTATTGGTCTATCTATCGATCTTTTTATTCAAATCAAGGTGTTTAAAACAAAAACTGTATCAAATGAATTGTTTTTTATTTTTTTATGCTTTTTTTTGTTTTTTGTGAAATAAAAATGAAATAAAAGTGAGAAAACTAAATAAAATGTGTATCAAAATGAAGAATTCAAGATAAAGGTGTGAAAAGAGTGCCCAGTCGCGACGTTTCGACCCGCTTGGGTCTTCTTCAGGCTATGGGCACAAAAGGGAATATGTCTGGACTTGTCTGAGTGTGTGTATGAGATGTTTTCTCTTCAGGAGACATATGCGAAGTGAGAGAAGTGAGCTCTGTGTGCGTGATTTATTTATAGGGGCGTGGGAGAGAGCAGAGCCAGACGGGGCCCCCGGCCGTCTGGGTGCAGTTAACCCCATAAATGCCAACTGAAATTAGATGACATGAATGTTAATGGCCAATTGGATTTTTTTACCCTCTTTTAACAGATTAATTTTAATGAATTATATTTGTAATGCCCAATTAGAATTTTTTATGCTCTTTTTAACTTATTTAATTGAATGAATTGTAATTGTAATGCCCAATTTTAACGTTTGCCAATTAGAATTGTAATGAATTTGAATTTTTAAAGACAGATGTAATTATGTTAGCCCCTAATTCCCTTTTTAAACTTTAGATAAGATATGCATTTTTAATATTTATGGTTTTAATGTCTAATAATCAATAATGGATTAAAAAGAATTAATTAAAATAAATTATTAGTTTTTAGAGGTTAGGGTTAGGGGTCAGGGCTAGGGTTAGAGAGGTTAGGGTTAGATTTGATCCCCGAGGGTTAGGGTTAGGGTTAGATTTAGGGTTAGGGTTAGATTTTGATCCCCGAGGGTTAGGGTTAGGGTTAGATCCAGGGTTAGGGTTAGATTTTGATCCCCGAGGGTTAGGGTTAGGGTTAGGATTCTGGTTAGGCGTTAGTTTTAGGGCTAGTGGTTAGTGGTTGGGGGTCAGGGGTTAGTGATTAGGGGTTAGTGGTTAGTAATTAGGGTTTGGTGGTTAGTGATTAGGAGTCACTTTTTTTTCCTAATGTGTCTTTTTGGTTTGAATGTTACAGGTTTTGGGGGAGAGGGAGAGTTTCCTTCCAGAAAATCCAGAAACTCCATGTCCGGCTTGGACAGGAAGCTCTGTTGTGGAGACAGAACAGGAGTTGTCTCCAGCTCCGTGTCTTGGTTTTCCCCTATGTGTGAGTACTGTTTTGTATTGTTTGTAGGTGTTTGTTTCTCCTCTTGTTTGTTATGTTGTGGTTCTGTGTGTGGTGTGTGGAGTGGAGTCTGAGGTGTTTTGGTTTGTTGTGGTGTTTTTTGTTGTTGTTGTTGTGGTGGTGTTTTGTTTTGTTGTTGTTGTTGTGCTTGTGCTGACTGTGTGTTTTGTTGTGGTGTCTGCTTTATGTTTACAGGTTTGTCCACAATTTGTGGATCATCATTTTGTCTTTTTTCCTGTGCAGCAGCAGGCTCAGCAGGGGCTGTCTCTGTGTCCTGTGCTGCATCAGGCTTCACACAGGAGGCTATCAGAGCCTCCGCGTGGTCAATAACCTCCTGCTTTATGCGAGGCAGGTTCCTTCTAGCCCATCTCGTGGCCACAGCGAAGGCGCTCTTCCACTCTTGAGGTGGCTCTTTTGAAAGATCTGCCTGGGTTAGGGTTAGGGTTAGGGTTAGGGTTAGGGGGTTAGGGTTAGGGTTAGGGTTAGGGGGTTAGGGGGTTAGGGTTAGGGTTAGGGGGTTAGGGTTAGGGTTAGGGTTAGGGGGTTAGGGTTAGGGTTAGGGGTTAGGGTTAGGGTTAGGGGTTAGGGGTTAGGGTTAGGGTTAGGGGTTAGGGGTTAGGGTTAGGGGTTAGGGTTAGGATTACGGGAAAAGGGGGACTGTCTCCTAGGATAGGAGACAGGAGGTGCACGGTCCATCCCCCTGTTCCCCGTCCCCCACGACCCCGTTTGGTACTGCTGATTATTAGTGCGGTACGGGCGTCGACCACGCCTTCTCCCGTATCGCACTTCAGTCCAGTCTTGTTGCTCATAAGTCAAGATTGTTTTTAATCTTTTTAATTATTTATTACTATTTATTAATGTACTGTATTTATTAAACTATGTATTTATTTATTTGTGTATCTATCTATCTTTTTATTAATCTAATGAAATGAAAAAATATTTAAAACAAAAACTGTATATATAAAAAAATGAATTGTTCTTTTATTTTTTTATGCTTTTTTTGTTTTTTTCTGAAATCAAAATGAAATAAAAGAAAGAAAACCAAATAAAATGCCTATGAGGAGGAAGAAATAAAGAAAAGGTGTGATAAAGAGTGCCCAGTCGCGACGTTTCGACCGCTGTGGGTCTTCTTCAGGCTATGGGCACAAATGGGATATGTCTGGACTTGTTTTAGTGTGTGTATGAGATGTTTTCTCTTCAGGAGACATAGGAGAAGTGAAGAAACTGAGCTCTGTGTGCGTGTGTTATTTATAGGGGCGTGGGAGAGAGCAGAGCCAGACGGGGGCCCCCGGCCGTCTGGATACCATCTGGGTGCAGTTAACCCCATAAATGCCAACTAAAATTAAATGACCTGAATGTTAATGCCTAATTAGAACTTTTTACCCTCTTTTTAAGTGATTAAACTTTATGAATTGTAATTGTAATGCCCAATTTAGAAATTTCTACCCTGTTTTAGCTGATTAATTGTAATTTTAAGGCCCAATTTAGAATGTTTTCCCCTCTTTTTAACAGATTAATTGAAAATGAATTGTAATTTAATGCCCCATTGAAACTTTAGTCTTTTAGATCCATAATTGCCAATTAGTATTTTAATGAAGTTGAATTTTAAAGATAGTTGTAGTGTTTTTAGCCCTTAATCCTTTTTAAATGTTAGATAAGATATGCATTTTTAATATTTATGGTTTAAATGTCAAATCATAACTATTTTTAGCGTATTATGAAGTTTAATAATTAATAATGAATTAAAAATAATTAGTACAAATAAATTATTAGTTTTTAAAGGTTAGGGTTAGGGGTCGGGGCTAGGGTTAGAGAGGTTAGGGTTAGGGTTAAGGCTAGGGTTAGGTTTAGGGCAAGATCTAGAGGTTAGGGTTAGGGTTAGGGCCAGGGTTAGGGTTAGATTTTATTCCCGAGGGTTAGGGTTAGGGTTAGGGTTAGGGATAGGGTTAGGGTTAGATTTTGATCCCCGAAGGTTAGGGTTAGGGTTAGGGATAGGGTTAGGGATAGGGTTAGGGTTAGATGTTTGATCCCCGAGGGTTAGGGTTAGGGTTAGGGATAGGGTTAGGGTTAGATTTTGATCCCCGAAGGTTAGGGTTAGGGTTAGGATTCTGGTTAGGCGTTAGATTAGGGCTAGGGGTTAGTGGTTAGGGGTCAGGGGTTAGTGATAAGAGTTTGGTGGTTAGTGATTAGGGGTTGGTGGTTAGTGATCAGGGGTCAGGGTTAGGCATTAGAGCCCCTAATCACATGTGGATGTAAAACAAAAATTGATTAAAATTTGATATTAAGGCCAATTGGTTCTTTGGTTTGTAATAAATAAATCCATCTCCTCTCCATGTTTTTCCTGTCTTTATCTGTCCAGAGTAAGTTACTCTGGATCCCTGCCATCCTGATGGCGTCGATGCCGTGGTGTATGAAGTGTTGTACAAGGGGAGTATTAGTTTCTTTTTGATTTTTTATATTGTACCTATGTTGCCACATTCTTGTTCGTAACGTATTTTTTGTTTCTCCAATGTATTGTTTTCCACATTTATTGCAAATTATAATGTAAACACAGTTTTTAGTTTGTAATGTGAATTTTTGTTTGATTTTAAACATTGTTTTATCCAATTTGTTTGTTACATAGGTCAATGTCTGGAAAAAATTAAATTTGGGGTTTGTATTAATTGGTTGTACCTGATTTAATTTGGCCCGTACTAAAATGTCTTTTAAATTTTTACTTTTTCTATAGGCTAAAATAATTTGGTGGTTTTCCAATAACCCTGGATCTCCAATTAAGTGTTTGTAATTATTTTTAATCTGTCTATTTATAATTTTAGTCACTGTCGAATATTGGGTCATATGCCGCGCGGCGGATGGCCGGTGGCTGAGCAGAGGGCGTCCCCAATGAGGATTGAATCCAGTGACCCGTGTAGACACACGAGACAATCATGTATTTTTTTAAATTTCACTGTACTTTGTCGACTCTAGACCTTCAAAATTCACCAAGAAGTGGGCAAGGTAGGACTCGAACCTATGACCTCAGGAGTTGCAGCCAGTGTTCTTATCCCCTGAGCCACTTGGACACACAGGATTATACCATTTGTTTCCTCTTTCACTTTCCTGTCTAGACACTAGACTTCAAAATTCACCTTGTCCCAAAAAAGGCTCGAACACACCACCTGAGGAGTACCAGTCAGTCTCCTTATCCCGTGAGCTATGTGGACACACAAGAGAAATGTATTTTTTTATTCACATATCGCTGTCCTTTGTAGACTCTAGACCTTCAAAATTCACCAAGAAGTGGGCAAGGTAGGACTCCAACCTATGACCTCAGGAGTTCCAGCCAGTGTTCTTATCCACTGAGCCACTTGGACACACAGGATTATACCATTTGTTTCCTCTTTCACTTTCCTGTCTAGACACTAGACTTCAAAATTCACCTTGTCCCAAAAAAGGCTCGAACACACCACCTCAGGAGTACCAGTCAGTCTCCTTATCCCGTGAGCTATGTGGACACACAAGAGAAATGTATTTTTTTATTCACATATCGCTGTCCTTTGTAAACTCTAGACCTTCAAAATTCACCAAGAAGTGGGCAAGGTAGGACTCGAACCTATGACCTCAGGAGTTGCAGCCAGTGTTCTTATCCACTGAGCCACTTGGACACACAGGATTATACCATTTGTTTCCTCTTTCACTTTCCTGTCTAGACACTAGACTTCAAAATTCACCTTGTCCCAAAAAAGGCTCGAACACACCACCTCAGGAGTACCAGTCAGTCTCCTTATCCCGTGAGCTATGTGGACACACAAGAGAAATGTATTTTTTTATTCACATATCGCTGTCCTTTGTAGACTCTAGACCTTCAAAATTCACCAAGAAGTGGGCAAGGTAGGACTCCAACCTATGACCTCAGGAGTTCCAGCCAGTGTTCTTATCCACTGAGCCACTTGGACGAACAGAATTATACCATTTGTTTCCTCTTTCACTTTCCTGTCTAGACACTAGACTTCAAAATTCACCTTGTCCCAAAATAGGCTTGAACACACCACCTCAGGAGTACCAGTCAGTCTCCTTATCCCGTTAGCTATGTAGACACACAAGAGAATTGGGTTCTTTTTTCACATATCACTGTACTTTGTAGACTCTAGACCTTTAAAATTCACCAAGAATAGGGCAAGGTAGGACTCGAACCTATGACCTCAGGAGTTGCAGCCAGTGTTCTTATCCACTGAGCCACTTGGACACACAGGATTATACCATTTGTTTCCTCTTTCACTTTCCTGTCTAGACACTAGACTTCAAAATTCACCTTGTCCCAAAAAGGCTCGTGAGCCATGTGGACACACAAGAGAAATGTATTTTTTTATTCACATATCACTGTCCTTTGTAAACTCTAGACCTTCAAAATTCACCAAGAAGTGGGCAAGGTAGGACTCGAACCTATGACCTCAGGAGTTCCAGCCAGTGTTCTTATCCACTGAGCCACTTGGAGACACAGGATTATACCATTTGTTTCCTCTTTCACTTTCCTGTCTAGACACTAGACTTCAAAATTCACCTTGTCCCAAAAAAGGCTCGAACACACCACCTCAGGAGTACCAGTCAGTCTTCTTATCCCGTGAGCCATGTGCACACACAAGAGAAGTGTGTTTTTTTATTCACATATCGCTGTCCTTTGTGGACTCCAGACTTTAAAATTCACCTAAAAGTAGGTAAGGTAGAACTCGAACCTATGACCTCAGGAGTTCCAGCCAGTGTTCTTATCCACTGAGCCACTTGGACACACAGGATTATACCATTTGTTTCCTCTTTCACTTTCCTGTCTAGACACTAGACTTCAAAATTCACCTTGTCCCAAAAAGGCTCGTGAGCCATGTGGACACACAAGAGAAATGTATTTTTTTATTCACGTATCACTGTACTTTGTAAACTCTAGACCTTCAAAATTCACCAAGAAGTGGGCAAGGTAGGACTCGAACCTATGACCTCAGGAGTTCCAGCCAGTGTTCTTATCCACTGAGCCACTTGGAGACACAGGATTATACCATTTGTTTCCTCTTTCACTTTCCTGTCTAGACACTAGACTTCAAAATTCACCTTGTCCCAAAAAAGGCTCGAACACACCACCTCAGGAGTACCAGTCAGTCTTCTTATCCCGTGAGCCATGTGCACACACAAGAGAAATGTATTTTTTTTTCACATATCGCTGTCCTTTGTAGACTCTAGACCTTCAAAATTCACCAAAAAGTGGGCAAGGTAGGACTCCAACCTATGACCTCAGGAATTCCAGCCAGTGTTCTTATCCACTGAGCCACTTGGACACACAGGATTATACCATTTGTTTCCTCTTTCACTTTCCTGTCTAGACACTAGACTTCAAAATTCACCTTGTCCCAAAAAAGGCTCGAACACACCACCTCAGGAGTACCAGTCAGTCTTCTTATCCCGTGAGCCATGTGCACACACAAGAGAAATGTATTTTTTTTTCACATATCGCTGTCCTTTGTAGACTCTAGACCTTCAAAATTCACCAAAAAGTGGGCAAGGTAGGACTCGAACCTATGACCTCAGGAGTTGCAGCCAGTGTTCTTATCCCCTGAGCCACTTGGACACACAGGATTATACCATTTGTTTCCTCTTTCACTTTCCTGTCTAGACACTAGACTTCAAAATTCACCTTGTCTCAAAAAAGGCTTGAACACACCACCTCAGGAGTCCCAGTCAGTCTCCTTATCCCGTGAGCCATGTGCACACACAAGAGAAGTGTGTTTTTTTATTCACATATCGCTGTCCTTTGTGGACTCCAGACTTTAAAATTCACCTAAAAGTAGGTAAGGTAGAACTCGAACCTATGACCTCAGGAGTTCCAGCCAGTGTTCTTATCCACTGAGCCACTTGGACACACAGGATTATACCATTTGTTTCCTCTTTCACTTTCCTGTCTAGACACTAGACTTCAAAATTCACCTTGTCCCAAAAAAGGCTCGAACACACCACCTCAGGAGTCCCAGTCAGTATCCTTATACCGTGAGCTATGTGGACACACAAGAGAAATGTGTTTTTTTATTCACATATCGCTGTCCTTTGTTGACTCAAGACCTTCAAAATTCAGCAAGAAGTGGGCAAGGTAGGACTCGAACCTATGACCTCAGGAGTTCCAGCCAGTGTTCTTATCCACTGAGCCACTTGGACACACAGGATTATACCATTTGTTTCCTCTTTCACTTCCCTGTCTAGACACTAGACTTCAAAATTCACCTTGTCCCAAAAAAGGCTCGAACAGACCACCTCAGGAGTACCAGTCAGTCTCCTTTTCCCGTGAGCTATGTGGACACACAAGAGAAATGTATTTTTTTATTCACATATCACTGTCCTTTGTAAACTCTAGACCTTCAAAATTCACCAAGAAGTGGGCAAGGTAGGACTCGAACCTATGACCTCAGGAGTTCCAGCCAGTGTTCTTATCCACTGAGCCACTTGGAGACACAGGATTATACCATTTGTTTCCTCTTTCACTTTCCTGTCTAGACACTAGACTTCAAAATTCACCTTGTCCCAAAAAAGGCTCGAACACACCACCTCAGGAGTACCAGTCAGTCTCCTTATCCCGTGAGCTATGTGGACACACAAGAGAAATGTATTTTTTTATTCACATATCGCTGTCCTTTGTAAACTCTAGACCTTCAAAATTCACCAAGAAGTGGGCAAGGTAGGACTCGAACCTATGACCTCAGGAGTTCCAGCCAGTGTTCTTATCCACTGAGCCACTTGGACGAACAGAATTATACCATTTGTTTCCTGTTTCACTTTCCTGTCTAGACACTAGACTTCAAAATTCACCTTGTCCCAAAATAGGCTTGAACACACCACCTCAGGAGTACCAGTCAGTCTACTTATCCCGTGAGCTATGTGGACACACAAGAGAAATTTATTTTTTTATTCACATATCGCTGTCCTTTGTAGACTCTAGACCTTCAAAATTCACCAAAAAGTGGGCAAGGTAGGACTCGAACCTATGACCTCAGGAGTTGCAGCCAGTGTTCTTATCCCCTGAGCCACTTGGACACACAGGATTATACCATTTGTTTCCTCTTTCACTTTCCTGTCTAGACACTAGACTTCAAAATTCACCTTGTCCCAAAAAAGGCTCGAACACACCACCTCAGGAGTACCAGTCAGTCTTCTTATCCCGTGAGCCATGTGCACACACAAGAGAAATGTATTTTTTTTTCACATATCGCTGTCCTTTGTAGACTCTAGACCTTCAAAATTCACCAAAAAGTGGGCAAGGTAGGACTCGAACCTATGAGCTCAGGAATTCCAGCCAGTGTTCTTATCCACTGAGCCACTTGGACACACAGGATTATACCATTTGTTTCCTCTTTCACTTTCCTGTCTAGACACTAGACTTCAAAATTCACCTTGTCCCAAAAAAGGCTTGAACACACCACCTCAGGAGTACCAGTCAGTCTCCTTATCCCGTTAGCTATGTAGACACACGAGAGAGTTGGGTTCTTTTTTCACATATCACTGTACTTTGTAGACTCTAGACCTTTAAAATTCACCAAGAAGAGGGCAAGGTAGGACTCGAACCTAGGACTTCAGGAGTTGCAGCCAGTGTTCTTATCCACTGAGCCACTTGGACACACAGGATTATACCATTTGTTTCCTCTTTCACTTTCCTGTCTAGACACTAGACTTCAAAATTCACCTTGTCCCAAAAAAGGCTCGAACACACCACCTCAGGAGTCCCAGTCAGTCTCCTTATCCCGTGAGCCATGTGCACACACAAGAGAAGTGTGTTTTTTTATTCACATATCGCTGTCCTTTGTGGACTCGAGACTTTAAAATTCACCTAAAAGTAGGTAAGGTAGAACTCGAACCTATGACCTCAGGAGTTCCAGCCAGTGTTCTTATCCACTGAGCCACTTGGACACACAGGATTATACCATTTGTTTCCTCTTTCACTTTCCTGTCTAGACACTAGACTTCAAAATTCACCTTGTCCCAAAAAAGGCTCGAACACACCACCTCAGGAGTCCCAGTCAGTATCCTTATACCGTGAGCTATGTGGACACACAAGAGAAATGTATTTTTTTATTCACATATCGCTGTCCTTTGTAGACTCTAGACCTTCAAAATTCACCAAAAAGTGGGCAAGGTAGGACTCGAACCTATGACCTCAAGAGTTTCAGTCAGTGTTCTTATCCCTGAGCCACTTGGACACACAGGATTATACCATTTGTTTCCTCTTTCACTTTCCTGTCTAGACACTAGACTTCAAAATTCACCTTGTCCCAAAAAAGGTTCGAACACACCACCTCAGGAGTCCCAGTCAGTCTCCTTATCCCGTGAGCCATGTGGACACACAAGAGAAATGTGTTTTTTTATTCACATATCGCTGTCCTTTGTGGACTCGAGACTTTAAAATTCTCTTAGAACTGGAAAGGGTAAGACTTGAACCCACAATATCAGGAGTACCAGTGAGTCTCCATATCCACTGAGCCATGTGGACACAGAAGACCATCATGTTTTTTTTAGTTGAAGCAGAGCGGATCAGTTCGTCTCTAAATCTTTAATGTTTGGTTTACAGATTTTAGTGAGTTCAGAGATCATGCTCTCATACAGCCTGAGCTGACTGTCTGCTGGTTTTGGATTTCTTGTATTTTCTTTGAAGACGCGCTGCGTCTCCAAGCGAGTCCAGCCTCTCACCTGAAATGCGCAGCTGTGCAGCGGCACGCAAAGCATTCTGGGATACAGATGGCACGAAAGCGTCTATAAATGCACGCCTGAAAAAATGCTAAGCGCGCTTAGCATTTCTTAGCATCTCGTACCAAATGGGACACTGTTCGCGCCGTCGTGACTTCATGCATGCTTCAAATGCACCGTTCGACGGTGCAGAAGTGCACTTAGCCCGATGCGGTCTCTGAAATGAGTCACAGCCTCAGTTTTCAAGATGTGCACACACACAAGTTGAGGTAATCTCCCCTCCACTTGGTGGCAGTGTTGCTCCCTCTGTTGAGAGCATAGACTGTGAAGAAGATGATTGACAGCTATCCACCTTAAAAGTGGGGAGAAGTTTCTGTTGATTGGCCATGTCAATCAAAAGCTCAGCCTAAAAGTCCTGATTATCAGTTTTGGGTCCCTGGCAATGACTGTTGGGTACAAACTGCAAAGCTTTCTTCTGCAGGTAGGGCTAGTCTTTTCATTGACCATGTGGGTCGAAAAGTTGTGTGGGAATAGTGTGTCGTCTCAGCCACTATGTTTTCTGCAGTTGTGAGTAGAGAGCACCTTGATAGCTCACTTGTTAGAGCAGAGGACTGTAGGACGTTCCTCATATGAAATGCTGTGATACTAAGGTCGCTGGTCCAATTCCAGCTCAAAGCACCTGCATTTCGTTGGTGTGAGCAATGTTCTGGGTCTAATCACATTGAAATAATGCCAAGCCTTGTCTTCATCTCTCAGCTCCTCCAAAATGTAAAAACACAAACAAGATAACTCCTGCTTAATTTTCCAACCATCAATTTTTTATTCACCCAGCCTAAAAGTCCTGATTATCAGTTCTGGATCCTTGGCAATGACTGTTGGGTACAAACTGTGAAGCTCTGTTCTGAAGGTGGGACTGGGCTTTTGATTGGCCATGTCAATCAAAAGCCCAGTGTGGGGCTGTGTCCACATGGCTCAGAGGATAAGGAGACTGCCTGGCACTCTTAAGGTTGTGGGTTCAAGCCTCACCTAACCCAAGTTGAGGTGAATTTTAAAGCCTTGTGTCTTCAAACGACAGTGAAATAGGAAAAAAACAGAAGACTCCTCTGTGTCCACATGGCTCAGAGGATAAGGAGACTGCCTGGCACTCTTAAGGTTGTGGGTTCAAGCCTCACCTTACCCAAGTTGAGGTGAATTTTAAAGCCTTGTGTCTTCAAACGACAGTGAAATAGGAAAAAACCAGAAGACTTCTCTGTGTCGACATGGCTCAGTGGATAAGGAGACTGACTGGCAGTCCTAAGGTCGTGGGTTCAAATCTTGTACAGGTTGTATTTTAAAGTCCAGCAGCCAAAGTTCCAAGATAAAAGGGCACGAACATCATCCCCGAATGTGGACGGTATCCGGTGGCGCAGGTGGTATGCAACTGACACCCAAATGCTGGTCAGCTGGGCAGCCCTGGTTTGATACCCACTCGGCACAAGTGAGATCCTGAAAAAGAATCCCCCCGGTGTTTCCAGAGAGATAAAATAGGGGTGTTATGCTACAGGAAGTCAGAGCAGGCTGAACTTTAGAGTAAGGATGGGGAGAAGGGTTGATGGGGGGATGATAGGGGGGGCGGCGGATGGCCGGTGGCTGAGCAGAGGGCGTAGTCCTCTGCTCAGCCGATGGCCGTCCCCAATGAGGATTGAATCCACTGACCCGTGTAGACACACGAGACAATCATGTATTTTATAAAATTTCACTGTACTTTGTCGACTCTAGACCTTCAAAATTCAACAAGAAGTGGGCAAGGTAGGACTCGAACCTATGACCTCAGGAGTTCCAGCCAGTGTTCTTATCCACTGAGCCACTTGGACACACAGGATTATACCATTTGTTTCCTCTTTCACTTTCCTGTCTAGACACTAGACTTCAAAATTCACCTTGTCCCAAAAAAGGCTCGAACACACCACCTCAGGAGTACCAGTCAGTCTCCTTATCCCGTGAGCTATGTGGACACACAAGAGAAATGTATTTTTTTATTCACATATCGCTGTCCTTTGTAGACTCTAGACCTTCAAAATTCACCAGGAAGTGGGCAAGGTAGGACTCGAACCTATGACCTCAGGAGTTTCAGTCAGAGTTCTTATCCCCTGAGCCACTTGGACACACAGGATTATACCATTTGTTTCCTCTTTCACTTTCCTGTCTAGACACTAGACTTCAAAATTCACCTTGTCCCAAAAAAGGCTCGAACACACCACCTCAGGAGTACCAGTCAGTCTCCTTATCCCGTGAGCTATGTGGACACACAAGAGAAATGTATTTTTTTATTCACATATCGCTGTCCTTTGTTGACTCTAGACCTTCAAAATTCCGGAGCGAGTAGCATGCTACTTCAGATACTAGACATGCCCACATTGTAGGTTGGTCGCGGTGCATCCTACGGGCATGCTACTGACCCCAAATGCACCGCGGGCTTCTTCTTCGTCCTCTTAAAAGTTGTAGAAGTGCATGTGATGCTAGCGCCACCAGCATAGATGCGTCGCGAACGCCGGCTAGCCACAGCAGCGCGCACCATGGCGGTTTCATGTAACTTCACACACTGTCCTAAAAAATGTGCGGTTGTATCTCTTTGTCATGTCATGGTGTCATATTTGCCCAAGTAATCATTTTATGAGCAAATATGTGGCGACATCATGGAGGTAAAGCTCACTTATTCCATCATTAAACTGCACAGCTGCAGTACTACAGCCAGGCCAGCAGATGAGGGGCTTCAGTTACCACTGTCTGCACGGGCGCAGTACCTACTCTCTGCCTGCGGGGGTCGTCTTTCCCCACCGCTCGTCTAGTGTGTCTGAATTGGGCCAACGTGTTGTTTAGTATGTAGGAGTAGGATCTAGCAGTAGTATGTAACAGTAGCATGTAGTATCCGAGCGGGCAATTCGGACGCAGCGACAGCCTGAGTAATAAGAAGAGGAACCTTTAGCCCGGATCTCGATTTCCAGTCGGAGCACATTAACGCACGTCCCGAAACAGGAAGGAGTTCTGACTTGTAAATTATGCGCGGGTTAAACAGCTACAGGCGGATAAAAACTGAAGTTTAACTCGTTTTTTGTTTTGTAAATGTCTTTAAAATGAGTCGAGCCCAGACTCTGAGAGGGTTTGTCTCTGAAAGACTCGCTGCCGCCTCTCGGGAAATCTTAACGGTCGTGGACAGAATCGTATCCGAATATGAGGAGGAGGCTTCGGGCTTCAGGCTGGAGATAGACCGGCAAAAGAAGCAGCTGGATGTCCTCCTGCAGGCACAGGCTACTCTAAAGAAAGCAGGTAAGTTAGGCAGAACTTTGTTTTGGAAATTAAATCTATAAACCCTAAACAACAGCCGTGTTTAAATAGAGACACGACGAATCCCATTAAAATATGATATAATTTACTTTAAACTCGATTATGACTCTGTATCCACCAACAAATCTAATAAAACTCACCAGTTCTTTAACTGGCTCAACATATTCTGTGATTCGGCCGTATTAGAAAATAACTATCTTAAAATTTAATTATTTTAAAACCGAAATAACAGCTGTGTTTAAATGGAGACATGATGAATCCCATTAGAATATGATATAATTTACATTAAACTCGATTATAACTCTTTATACGCCAACAAATCAAATAAAACTGAGCAGTTCTTTAATCAGCTCAACTTAGTCTATGATTCGGCTTTACTAGAAAATAACTATCTTAAAATTTAATTCATTTTTTTAACCTTGTTTCTCTCATTTTGCTCAGAGATTTCAGCAGAACTCTACATGCTCTGTGTGAAAGCATTATCGTCTCTGGGGGTTAAATTACTGTCTAATTTTTTTGTTGTTGTAGGGCTGAAACGTCGCAGGATTATTAGGACCTCTGAGGAGGACGGGTATAAAGATGAGGAGGAGGAGGAAGACTCTGCAGGAACTTCATCAGGGTGAGATAGGCGGCCTACTTTCAGCCTGTGAAATTATAACTTTTGCTCTTTTTAATGTTAAAGTCAACACTAAATCTGTCAGGGTGTCATGCTGCTTGTTTGACTTTTCATCAGTAACAATGAATGTTTTTAATCATCCTTGCATAATCACTGTACCCCTGTATTCAAATAAAAGCAGAAAGATTTTAATGAAAAGAATTATATGAGGAGACATTTGGTTCAGGTTTATACAATCTGACACAGTATGTCAGTAAAGTACAGTAATTTTGTGATAGAAAAATGCCCTTGTATGACAGTGAGTTTTTATTTTACTTTAGCAGCCTGTGGAAACACTAATACTGACTCTTTTCTGTCATGTCCTCGTCTTACAGAGGTCGGTTTAAGAGGAGGAAGCCCGGCAGATCTCAGATCAGTGAAACACAAAACCACGTCGACCTCAGGATCCGGATCATCGAAGACCCTCAGATTGATGTGCTCTCAAACAGCAGTAAGTGAACAAGTCTAGAATTGCTTAATTCTGGAAAGGAGAACCTAAAAACAACTAAATTAAAAAAAAACAAAACAGTTCAATAAAAAGTCAAAAAGAAACCATGATCGTAGTGACACCTCCATGGGTGCACTTTGGAGGCCTCAGAAAACTGTAAACCGAACACTGTCCTGTGAGAGTTTGTGCAAGCAGCAAATTGCTTACACTCGAAAAACAAAAAAAAAACCTCCGATCCATCGATTCGTCAAGACAGCAACAAAGTATTTGCTGAAATGAGAGCGCCAGTGCTGACTGGGAAACCTCTATTGCAAGTGATCTCCAGCTTTACAGCAAAGATCTCAGCGCAAGACGAGGTGAAGGAGAGAAGACAAGATCTGAGGAAGCTCATCTCTAGGTAGGCCATATGAGGTTGGATTCACTTTTAGGAAGGGCAGGAGGAAGTGTAGTCAGTGTTAAGTGGGAATGAAGAAGGTGACTAAGATGTAACTTTGGATTTTAAGAAGTCAGTTGATAAATGTTGGTAGTTTTTAAGGACTACCTCTTTTAAAGTTAAATTCTTTGAGTTAATGAGGTTCCCAGTCTAAGATTCCTTTTACACCATTTTAAATATAAATAAAGACCTACTGTCCAAACCACCTTCATGATTCTAGTCCTATAAACAAATGTAGTTTCGGAGTTAAATCCTGTGAGTTTGTTGACATGATAAAAGTTTTCTTCTCTCTTTGGTCATCCATCTTTCTTCCGACAGTCCTTGAAAAGTGTCCTGTGCTGAAACTGAAGTGTCCCCCAGGCCTCCAGGAGAAGGGCTTCCTGGATTTGCTGAGGTCCTCCTTCCCTCAGCTGTGTGGAAATGACAAACATTTTGACATCCTGACGTCAGATAAGAAAAGGAGATTACTGCCTCTGAGTTTAAAGAAGGTGACACCAGAGGGGATCCACAGAAAGATCAGCGGCACTGAATGGAGGAAGTGGCCCATCTACGTCCGACTGAAGGTAACCTAACGTTTCATGGTCAATTTGGCCGATACAGACAAAGAATAATCCGATATTTTACTGCTGGAAAGTTCATGGATTTGTACTTCTTTATTTTTCAGACACAAAATGAAACCCAGACTAGAAAGGGAGATGCTGATCCTCTCCAAACACAAGACAACAGCTCTGAGGTCTCTCTGTCGTTGACGCGTGAGAAAACCAAGTTTCAAGAAAGGTACGTCCACAGAGATACTCGAAAAGGCAAAACATGAACCACATAAAGTATGTGGACAAAGTTCAGATTTGAGAACTTGTTCACCGTTTTGAGTCACCTTGAACAGTTTTCCTTTACTTCTAAACCCCTTTAATGTTTGCACCTGTTCCCCACAGCAGCCCGATTCTGGAGGGTGATGGTTGCAGAGAGGAGGTGTGGCACCGCTCAACATCAAACCAACCGAACACGGAAATAAGGGAAGCTAATGAGAACTTTTGTGGAGTACCAGAACCATATGAGGGCTCTCACGCCTCCTCTGCAGCTAAGAGTAAAACGGATTACAGCGATCATATAGACGATGGACAGGAAAGACGAGAGGTGGGTGAAAGTGACGGTGACTGGAAACCTGACAAGGATGATGAGGAGCTGAAGGATAGTGACTCTGAACTTTGGTCAGAGGCCACCAAAAAACAAAGATCCCGACAGTCTGGTGTCGAGGAGACCGATAACAGTGATGCTCTGACCTGCAAAGTTTGTGGAGCTCTGCAACTATCAGAAGTTACACTCATAAAACACGCCTCAAGTCACGTAGACGATCCAAGAAGTCTCTGTGGAGTCTGTGGAGATCTTTCCGAGTCTCCTGAGGCGTTCAGGGAACATCTTGTACGTAACCACAAAACTGAAGACTGCCACATCTGTGGAGAGTCTTTTTGCAGCAGCCTAACGTTCAATGAGCATGTAGCTGCCCACTCAGGAGAGAGACCGTACGGATGTGACCTTTGCCCTGATAAGTTTGCATTGCAGGTTTCCCTTGAGAATCACCAGAAACTCCACGAGACGGGGAAACCACATAAGTGTCACACTTGCAATAAAACGTTTGAACTGAGGTCACAGCTGAAAGCTCACCGCATGACTCACACACACCTGTGTGGCGTGTGCGGTAAATCTCTCAGTGACTACAGGTCTTTATCTCGCCACAAGATGACGCATGTCCAGAGAAGACCTCACAGCTGTCAGGTCTGCGGGAAGAGTTTCAAACTTCTCGGTACTCTGAGACAACACGAGAAGATCCACACAGACAGAGAGAGGTCGTACCTCTGTGACGTTTGCTGCAAAATGTTCCTGACCAGTAAGCAGCTGCACATCCACATGAGATCACACACCAACGAGAAGCCGTACCACTGTGGCGAATGTGGGAAGGGATTCACCACAAAGGGGTCTTTGACAATTCACATGCGGGTCCACACTGGGGAGACACCGTACCGCTGCCCAGACTGTGGCTGGTCCTTCAAACGTAAGGTGCATTTGGATAACCACATGACCGTGCACTCTGGGCTCAAACCGTTTGTCTGCGGGATCTGTGGGAAAGCATGTGCTCGCAAAAGGTACCTGAAAGTCCACATGAGGACCCACAATGGGGAGAGACCGTACAAATGCACTCTCTGTGACAAGGCCTTCACTCAGGGCCACTGTCTAAAAACTCACATGAAGAGCCATCTGGGGGCTGAAGCTGCAAAGTGACTGACTCTGCACCCAGTTTGGACTTGTACCCTGTGTGTTGAATTTGCACTGAAAGTGGAGTTTTTGTGTTCTCTTAATTCACATTTCTGTAAATTATTTATATTGTTCTCTGGAAAAAGGGGCGAATGAAATCTCACAGCTTCATGTTCCAGTGAAAGGACCTGTCTTTACTGGGTGAGCATGTGTGTCTTTGAGATGCCAATACTAGAACAACAGAACTCAGTCTTTAACTACATCACAGTCTGAGTACATGGAGACAGACTTGGTTGTTCCAGTGCTTGCTTGGCGTCCTCAATACATCTTACATCAGCCACACCGGTGCGTTGTGTGTTTTTCTTCACAAAGTCCTTTGGGTGAGTGAGCTGACATGAACGTGGCACACCTGGACAACCCTAACCCTGATAATCTGGATGCTCTGTACAGATTATACTGACTCTGTTAGTGGAGATTATGGTTTATCAATATTCAAAGAAAAGGTGTGTTTCTGTCTACTCCTAAACTGGGAGATTTAAGGCTCTGCTAGTTGGTCTGGTGCCAACATTGTGGAAATACCTGAGTACTAATCCAGAGGTCCCACCTTGTTTGTTTAACAGGCAAAGGACTCTCGCTGTTTTCCACAAGGATCTCGCCACAGCCGGTTGAGATCCAGCCTCATAGAGCCGACCACCTCTACATGTGTCCAACTGATAGTCTTAAAAAGAGTGCAAACTTCAGAGCTTATCACCCAGTGTCATGGGTCATTTTTCATGTGACCACCATGTTTTAGAAGATGTCTCTCTACTGAAGTCCTCTGAGGACCTTGATGACCTTGGTGTTCATGAACAGGTTACACAGAATCCACACGTTTGCATTAATTACACAGTCAGTGTTTATTTTCTGATTTGAAAAGACAAAAGCCACACAAAGGAGGTAAGTAAGCGAACACAGTGCTTTCATTTTGCTTTTTTATTTTCGAACAGCTTTTTGCAGCATGTTGGTTTAAGATAAGCATACACCGTCCTGACTAAACCTTTGTTTTGAGGATCAAGTGATGGCCCCTTTTCCTGCAGATTGTCCCAACCTTTATATAATGTCCCCAGGTGAAACTTTTAAGACACTTTTTCCTATTACAAGTTATAAATACAGTCGAGAAGAGCATTAAATTCAAAAGGGTGAAGCACAAATGATTTAATATTTAAACAATGTGTACAACAAAAAAAGAAAGAACCCAGAATAACACCATAATGTTAAAATATCTTCTAACAGCGAGACGTCTGTGTACATGAACATTAGTCTGCCAGTGAGAAAGACAAATCTACCATTCAATTGAATTAAATTCAACTTGTGTCAAAGTTAGTCATTTCGTAAATTTTAACCCCAGAACTTCCTCATTTTGAAGAATTTTTATACACATTTAATTTCATTATCTGTACCCCAAAATCAAAGCTGGGCTAAGAGTAGGCGGGTGGTGGGGTCTCTCTTAGTTATTACTAGTTAAGAGTCTGGGTTCACCTTTGGAAGGTCCCCGGTCTATCAGGGGTTATCGTAGAGGAGGCCAAACACAATTGCTCTCGTCAACAAAACGTCCTATAGGTTCGGCATTGTGGAAAGAACCCACAAATGAACTGGAAACTCACAGTAAGACGAGGAACCAGGAACCTTACCGTTCAAGACAAGAAGCACAACCATAGAACCACCGTGCAGCCCAGTTTGGATGTATTGATGCGCTCTTAAACCGTAATATTAAAGTAAGTTTGTCATGTCGATTCTACTGAGACACCCATGTCATTACCTTCAGTTTGGTCAATTCAACGTTTCCGTTTTCCTGCCCTGCGCAGAAATAACAAAGGTAGGACCAGATTACTAGGAAGATCCAGCCAGAACGCTGAAAAAAACACCACACATACATAATGCTGACTCAGCATCTCATACCTGTATACCGCATTTCCTACCAGGTTACCACAAAACCTTATCAGAAGTGCTCCCATCACAGCCATGATGATGTAGAAAGCCTTCTGTTTGGACCGGCTAACATGGCCCCCTTTTCCAACCACCTCCCCTGGACCAAGGCGCTTGAGGGTGCAGAGAATGAACATGCCACAGACAGAGGTAAAAATAAGAAAGACAACCAAAGCGCTAAAATAGAAAAGAGAGTGGACATCAGTGCTGGTGCGGAACATTACAGCCAGCCATCCAGAGCTCAGCACCCAAACGCATGCATTCATGATGTTCCTGATCCTGGTCCACTGTGGCGTTCTCAGTCTCAGGTAGGTGATGGGGTGAATGACAGCCAGGTAGTAATCCGCGCAGGACAAGAGGTGAAACATGGCCTGTCCTATGGTGGTGAAGATCCACATACCCAGCCCCACCTCCATCATCGCTGTTATGGCTCCGTAGCCACCACAGAAGTAGAGGAGGAGGCCCAGGAATTCATTTAGCTGCATGGCGATGGAGTGATAGGTGAAGACGTCGGAGTTAAAAGCTGCTCTTATGGATGCGGAGCGACGTTTCCTCCACTGTTTGTAACCCACGTATAGGACAAGGTAGAAGATGGGAAGAACGAGGATGTGGGTGACAGAAAAAGCTGAGAAGATGACAATACTGGCCTTGGACCTGAAACATTTCGTAAATGGTGGCGAGGAGGAGTTGGAAAAGTCATGGAAAGACGAGTTGACAGACATGTTGATAAACGGAAAGTCTACAGAGAAAAATCAGAGGAAATGATTGGGATGATCAGCGAGGCAGTGAGAGGGAGGATATACAAACTGAGTGAAAACACAATCAACGGTTTCTCTAATTCTGCACTGAGCAAACGGTGACAGACTTCACCGAGCTGTCAGGGATAAATCTGAGGAAATCATCACTCCATAGATTTAAAGGAAAGTTTTTAAAAGTTAATGTATAAATAATAGAGATTAGGATAAAAAAATTTAACAGTGAACTTAAAACACCACCAACCAGAATTAAAAACGACCCCAGATTTCAACAGAGGCTCTACCGTAAATAAAAACTGAATTTGCTAGGACTTACTTTGTATTTTTGAAAGTACGCCCACCTCAATCAAGCATTCGGTCTCTGAACCATCTGAGGCGGCTCTCGCTGGTCCTGTATCCAGAGAACTGGTGACAGGTCTCTACATGTCAGGTGTGTTTGTTCGATGACATTGTTGGCACTTTTTACGCTACATTACCACAGGCAAATCTAACTTTGACATTATCGTGTCACCTGAGCGTCAGATCCCAGAGTCAGATTTGAATAATTTCCTCATTGTCCTTAGGTGACGAAGATGCTAATGACGTTCAATTATTCCTTTAGAGTTTTATTCTTGTCTTATTATATTATAGTTACATTACACAACACAACATGTAAAATATTGAAAGCTTCTTAGATATTCATATTAACACACAGGTTAAACAAACTGAATGAAACTGGTTGTCAGTCATTTTTATTCTACTGTCATTCTATTTTAACCCATGTCCAACAGTCGTCCTCCTTATATTTGACTTCTGAGTTTTTTCCATTAAGAACCAGTTTAAAGATGAGATCCTAATTTTTATCCAGCAGCTTGTTTCCCACACTGTAATTTTCCTGCGCGGTGTAGAAACAGCAGAGGTAACACCAGAGTACTGGGCAAATCTAACCAGCAGATTAACAGCATTGATGCGCAGCCATCACTGAACAATCTGCTCTTGAACATCACATAGACCACCAGACCACCTCCAAACTTTAACAACAGTGCTCCTGTTATAGCCATGATGATGTTGAAAGCCCTCTGCTTTGATTGGTCAACCCGCTCCCTGTTTCCACCCATTTTTCCTGGCCCCTGGTGCTTTAGGGTACATAGGACAGAAATGCTACAAAAAGAGGTGGAGGCCAAGAATAAGGTTGTTAGAATGAATATCAGGATAAACCTCAAATCCGTGCTGCTTTCACGAACTGGGACTAAAGTTGTAAAGCTGAGAACCCAAGCACATGCAATGCTGATGTTTGTAATCCTGACACCATTGCGCTGTTTCAGTCTGCGATAAAAGATGGGATGGACAACAGCCAGATAGCGCTCCACACAGGTCAGGAGGTGAAACAGGTCCTTCCCCATGACTGCTATGTTTGTCACGTTGAGCCCAAACAGCTGTATTATTATAAGATACTGGAAGCTACCCCAACAAAACATGATGAACCCGAGGAATTCATTGAGCTGCAGAGCAACAGCATGATAGGTGAAGAGGTCAGAGGGACTGGAGACGGAGTGCTGCCCCCTCTTGCCTCGGTAACCCACGTAGAAGACGAGGATGAAGACGGGAAGGAGGCTGAGGTGGGCGCAGAAAAGAGCAGACACACCAAAGATTGCTTGCCTTGAATGAAAACATGTTAAACCTTGAGTGATAGAGGAGTTGGAGGTTTGAGGAGGTAGGGCGTGGTTGGTGAAGGTAGTGCTGTTGACAGACATTATGTACTCAGAGGCCTGGAGTAAACCTGGAGAGAAAAAGAGGGAGAATAAAAGAGGAGGGAAGAAAGTCACAGTTTTCAAGATCGATTAGAGATGGACCCATGAAAGGAGGACTGTCATTATGAGGGCATGTTTGTCTGGAGAACATGTCAAGTTCTACACCTAGCTGTCGGTGTCATAGAGGAAGTCCTTACAAGGTCTGGACTTTTTGTTCAGAAATACTTTGGTTGGTTGAAGGAGGACCTTGATTGCCTGCTGACTCTACTGCTGAAGATGAACCAGTCAGCCAGTGTCCTCCACCTGAGGGTCTAGTGGCCGGTTTGTGTTTCTGCTTCATTGGCAATTCCATCTACTTTAACAAGGTTCTTCTGTTTGAACAAAGAGATCAGCACTTCCTAGTGTTGGGTGGTATGACGGTATATACCATGTGACAGTATAAAATCGTCTACCGGTAGAAATTCTACTATACCGTTTATACCGGAGAGAGAGAGAGCAGATGTCTGCTGCATTTTTCTGAGTCAGTGTGTAGTTGTCTGCATTCGCTAACAGGAAAGTTGGAGCGCATCTGTTTGGGTGTGTTTCCGTATATTCACCAGCATGTCATGCAGAGTTTGATTGGTCAAGTTTGGGTGTGCTCCCTATAATCACCAGTGTGTCCAACAGACTGCTTGGCATAGTTTCAATGAAGAGGAAACAGCTTCACTGGTGGTCATCATGGCAGACACAGAGATCAGTGGGCACTTCCTTTAGCTGCCCCTCTAACAGTCACTGTGCTGAGGGAACTGGCTGTATCGGTGGATGTTTCTTCACTTGACTTGAGGATCATAAACATTGAGACCAGGTTTTGGCAATTTGGATTTAAACATGAACTTCACCTGGACAATGCTGAGGACTTTTTAGGAGTGAATTGGAGGTGCAAAAGTGATGAATGGAACTACTAAGAACGTTTTGAAAAACTAAAAATGCCAAAAAAGCTCAGCATGCAGGGTGTAGGAAAAAGTGAGTGTCGCTCCAAACATGAAATCTGGAGTGTGTTTAAAAGCAAATTAGATTAAGATGACAATCATTTTCTTTTCTGGTGTTAATCATTCAAGAACCAGAGGTTCATCAGTCATTTCTCACATTTGTAATTGTAAATGTCCACATACCATGATTAAAGCAGCATACTGATTCGGACCTGGGCTATAGCGATATTAAACAGCAGAATACCATTAAGACTGTGAACTAGATAGAGGACTTTAACAATTGCTAAAAGGTACAAAAAACAAAATCAGAACAAGTCCATTTAAAAAGTACATTTAAACTTTTTTGTGGAGCGTTTCTTTTAGATGAGGTATTGCCCCATTAGTAGGTTATAAACCCACAGTTGTTCCCTTGTGAACTCAAATCCCTCGTCCTCCAAGTTGGGAATCAAACCTGTTATGTTTTTGGTAAATCTTCTTAAAGTGGAAACAAAAATGCTAATTCCAACAAAGCACAATCTAAGACACATTCAGGAAATTAGTTATAATAAAACATAATATTGGCGGTCAGTTTTGTGATTTTGCTCAATTTTAATTTATTTTATATTTCTCGAAGAAAACTCTTACCTCAGAATTTTCTGATAGTTCCTCTTCTGCGTTGTCAAACTGCCTCCTCTCTGATTTCTGTCCCAAACATACTTTAATATCTGATTTAAGTATGTTTTTGTGCGTGTGCATGTGTGTGGGCTGCTTGTTTGTGAAGAGCAGATGATGCCAGGTGTCTGAGGTTTTTGCATATTTGTCTTTCCTAATGAAACTTTTTATGACTGAGAACACATCACAGTCATGGCTGATTTAATGTTCCTATAAAGACCAAAGCGGAGTCAGGAGCATCAGCATTTGACTGTCCTTTCTGTGGTAGAGGCAAATGCTGCATGTAGATATGTATATGACCAGGACAAGATGATGCACATCTGTTTATCCCTTACCTGTTTTAAAATTTTATTATTTTCCTCTTTTCTCTTTTAAAGATAACTTACTTCAAACTTGTGCAGTTGTAGTAACACTGCAATACTTCCACAGAATTATCAACCAGAATTTAAAAGTTTATTTCTGAGCGTTTTTCAGGATATGAATTTTTCATTGTAAAAACAAAATGTTTAAGGCCCTATTACTGCTACTTCTACCTGTTAGTGTACTGAAGTTATGAAACCACTGTACTTTAAACTACCATGACATTGGTGCTTCAATTATTGGGAAATTATTGGCGAAAAATGATCTGATTCCAGCCACAGTCTTACATTTAAAGCATTTTCATCTATTGTCTTAAAGTGTAAAAGGATTTCATGTGATCTTGGAGAAACCAGTAATACTAAGTAAGTTTTAATCTATTTATTCCAAATACTGCCTAAATCTAACGCTTTAGTCCAATTTTCTTAGTTTTGATTAGTTTAAAGTGCCCACAGTGAAACTATAAAGCAAGAAAATTAAACCATTAACCGTAAACTGAACACTGCCAAATAGCACATTAACAACACAATTAAAGAAAGACAGAAGGTGAGTACAACATTCATTCTTCTACTTTAATTTATAATATGGTTCACAATTTGTTTCAGCCTAACAGAATAGGACACACATAAATAAACATCCCACTACTACACTTTAAATAAATAAACTTTAAAATCAAAGAACTGTCTAAAAACAACCAGTTTCTGTTTGATCGTACTTACACAAATGCTTTTATGGATATTAGATATACTAAATCTAAACGTTACATGCATAGAACTTTTAAAAAGCCTAAGTATTGTCGACCCATGTGTAACACAGTTTTCATCCTGACTCAGTGTTGTATGTACAGCATTGTAATTTTCCGATTCGATGTAGGAACAGAAGAGGCAACACTAAAGTGCTGGGAAGCTCCAGCCACAATCCCAACCCCAGAGACATATTACACTTATCAAAATTGAGGTTTGAATCCAGAATGATAGAGGCTGCCAGATTCCCGCCAAACCTCACCAACAGCACCCCCATTATAGCAATAACGGTGTAGAAAGCTCGTTGTTTTGATTTGTCGACCCGCTCCTTGTTCCTCCTCACTGTCCCTGGTCCGGGGTTTTTCAGGGTCCAGAGAATCATAATGCAACAAAAGGACATGACAAATAAGAAAAAGACCAGAATGAAGATATTGAGGCAGAAAAATAAATCAGTGCTGCAATGGTTCACAACAACCAGCCATCCAAAGCTTATTAACCATACACATCCAATGACGGTGTTCCTGATCGTGACCCCGCGTGGACTTTTTAGTCTCAGGTAGGTGATGGGGTGAACAACAGCCAGGTAGCGCTCCAAACAGGTCAGCACATGAAACATAGCTTTGCCAAGGTAGGGGATCTGCATTAAGTTCAGTCCTGTAAGGACCATTTCTGGGACATTGTTGGCCATGCCTACATAGAACACCATGAACCCCAAGAAGTCGTTCAGCTGCATGGCGACAGAGTGATAGGTGAAGAGGTCTGAGTGACTTGTTGCATTGGTGGAAACGGAGCACTGTCTCTGGAAACTGAGATAGAGGACCAGAATGAAGAAAGGAAGGAGTAGGACTTGGGCGATGGCAAAAGCTGAGATGGCGTAGAGGCTTGTTCTGTAGGTGAGGCATTGGAACGCGTATATGGAGTGGTTGGTTGCGCCTTGAGGATGAAGGGGGAGCGAGTTAAAGAACGAGTTGGTGGACATGTCTCGGAGGTCAACAATGATGATCAGGAGCTGAAAGGAAGAGACTCGCTCATTAAAAACAAGTGAACACAATGAAAGCATGCACAGTAACCATCAAAGAAAGAGAGTCGTGATCGTCGCTGTCTCTAATACACCCCTCCGTGTAGAGCTTGAAACTCAAATAAGCCACAAACAAAAGATTCAAAATAGGAATGATTGAAGCAGAGCAGAGCGAGGATTCAGCTGCAGTAATTTTCTTAGACACAAAGTCACTCAACCAACATCAAATGTTATTATTCTGCTTTAAGTAAACAGTTTCAAAGGATAATTAAAGACAAAACAATCACGTAGGTTTGAGGGTACAGATATCAAATAGTATAAATGAGAGTTAAAACTTAAATCAATCATATCATTTTCATTTGAATAAAGACCTACCCCAGCGAAGTTTTCTTTTATTCATCTATCTTCTTTGAGATCTGTATGTCCGATAAACCATCACTGGTGTCTGACCCTTGTTTAATTTCATAACCAGATTTACATAAAGATAGTTTGTGTGTGTGTGTGTGTGTGTGTGTGTGTGTGTGTGTGTGTGTGTGTGTGTGTGTGTGTGTGTGTGTGTGTGTGTGTGTGTGAAGAACAGGTGCTACTAAAGTTATGAGAATTTTGCATATCTCCAAGCTCATAGTTTATGGTATTTTTTATGGTAAATTAGCATTTGCAAATTTGTTTCAACCCACAGCAGCCGGGTCACTCAAACAGCCCTCCTGGCTGGCTCGCCAAATGTTGAGGTTTATTTTCCGTGTTGTCCTCTACTGCAGCTGCTAATTAAGCGCTCAGAACCTGGTGAAGGTCTGCAGGAGAACTATTTTCTTCACCCCAAAGGCAAAATAGCAGGAGAGGAAAATGTGAATGACACTTCTTTTGAATTCAGAAATAGAGCTGTAGGATTTCAACCAAAGAAAGACGCAGAAAATGTGTCAGGATTGTAGATTAATATATTTCTGAGCTGTATCAGCTGGTCATGTGCGATACATACTCAAAAGGACAAGGATTATATTTATTCCTTTATTTGCACACAGATATTTCTGTACATCATTAATTAGTTTACACACATAAGTTCAGAATTTTAAAAACTTTTTCCATCTTTTCAATGGATTTACAGAATTTAAAACACATTTGAAAGACTTTGTTCACCATCACATTAGTTCATTGGTGTAAAAAATGTACATCTTACCTAACACAGAGTAGTAGGGTACAACAATGTGCAGCTGAATTATAAGAAACAGTTTTATTTAGGATCTTAAATGGATTTAACTATTTACAGAAACATGGAAGGCTACGGGTTATTAACAGTCTTTTCAAAACTGGTGGAAATGTTGAGGCGATCTCTGAGTACGGCTCATTTAATCGGCCCAACGACATGGACAATTTACAGGATTCAAAGCACACGTAAAAACAAGTTTGATATACAAATCATACCCCAGCTTACCCATCTGTGAGTGACCCTGCTGTGGTCAATAGTGGATCTGAATCATGAATCTAACATGAATTTAGTACATCATTAAGAGTCCATTCTTTGCCTTGACTGGAAAGTTTGATCTCATACTGGTTTGGGTTAATAATAACTTTATATAGCACTTTTTAAAAACAGAGATTTACAAAGTGCTTGACAAAAGAAATTAAGCACAAGAACGTCAGCACAAGGACATAAAAACAAAGAGTTCAGTGAAAATAAGGCCTCCGAATTGAAGGCAATTTTTATATGTCATAAAGAATCCAGACGATACAAGAACCATGCAACATAAAATGAGACCATGAGGACCAAAATAAAAACATAAAATTGGTGGGAAAAAGAAAATGCAATAAAAAGGGTGTTGAAAGCAGAAAACAGGATAGCAATTATAAAAAGACGATATTAATAATGATCATAAAATAATAATAATAATGTCTTAGTGCACTGGACTAAATCATGCTACATATATCCTGGGGATGCAAATCTGTGCACACTTCTAATTAAGACTCAAATGTTTATCATCTGAATGGATCCGCTGTGGTAATCCATCTGTCATCCTGATTTCCTCAACTGTAATTTTCCTGATCGGTTTAAGAAAAGTAACGGCAGTACCAAAGTGCTGGGCATATCCAACCAGAATATAGATATCAGCAGTGCACACACATCAGGAACCGTATCGGCAGAGTAAATCGCTTGGACAATCAGGTGACCCCCAAACCTCAGCAACAACACTCCCGTGATGGCCATGATGGTGAAGAAAGCCTTCTGCTTTGATCGCTCGTTGTTCCCGCCCACCTCCCCAGGACCTGGACGCTTGAGGACGCAGAGAGCTGAAACACTGCAGTAAGAGACGACTATCACGAGGGAAGACAAAGAGATGAGATACAAGGATGAGCCACTGTTGTACCCCACACGGAAGGCTAGAGCCAGACAGACAAAGCTGAAAACCCAAGCATATATGATACTGATGTGGGCAATCCTGACCCTGCAGGCCTGTGTCACTCCAAGGTAGATGATGGGGTGAACTACAGCCATGTAGCGCTCCAAACAGGTCAGGAGATTAAAGAGAGTCTTTCCAGGTATCGTTACAACCCAGATGTAGATCCCGACACTCATGACAACAGGGGCACCACTGACTCTGCCCACTAAAATGATTGCAAGACCCAGGATTTCAGTGAGCTGCATGGCCATGCAGTGATAGGTGAAGAGGTCAGAGTGACTTGCAGCTGTGGACGTGGAGCTTGGTCCTCTGCGTTGTTTGATTCCCAGGTAGAGAACAAAAACAAAGGGGGGCAGGTGAAGGATGTAGGCCGCGGACAGTGCACAGAGGTTGTAGATGTTTGCTCTGGAGCAGTAGCATACCAAGATGACCTGGAGGAAAGTCCTGGAGTGGATTTCAGAAGAGACATCAGGACAAAATGAGGAGTTTCCCAAAATGTTTGTGTTCATGGTGCCTGAAAAGTGAAGGAGAGGCTGAGGGAAAAAAAGCAGAAAGCGAGGATGAGAGAGGCACGAGGTTAAAACCAAACAAGGATGATGGAAATTAAACCCAACCCCTCAAAATAAAAACATTACTCTAGAAAAAAACCCCACAATAAATAAGTATAAGTTAGTGTCAGTGTCTATTTTCATATGTTAGCTTTAGATAATACCAACCTCAGGAGAAGTCAGCTGTTATCGCCCTTCCTGGCACATCAGACAGTCTGCCTGCTCCACACCAGTCTGATTTTAATATATTGTAACAGGAAGCAGTGTGTGAGTGTATGGACAACAGGTGATCAGTCCTATTAGGTTGTTTGCATGTTACGAAACCCATTCACACTTAATGATACTTTGGAAGGTAAAGCACAGCTGAAACTTTTTTTTACAGTCTTTTAACTTTTTTTTGCTTTGTGTGAAATTAAGACACTCCAACATTTTCTGTTTGTATGCATGTCATCGCCTAGCAAAGGTGAAGGTGTTTGTATGTGCACCTGAACTGAAATGACCCTGTCGTGTAAAACTATCCCCATTAAGAATATTTGCCTGCAATTGATCGTCAATTGTCACACATTATCAGCATTCGATTTGCAAAATGCAAAAATCCCCTTTAGTCTTACAGCTTCCCTTTCCACTTTTTGGTGCACACAAATACAATCACAGTACGCCGGGATCGGACGGAAGAGGAGTGGACACTCCAGTTTTGAAGGATAAACAGAGACAAGTGATGCCATCATGGGTGTGAGTTTGTGTTTAAATTGATTGTGATTTAACGTTAGTAACCATGAGTGAGAGATTAATGTTATTTGACAGTTTTGACCTTATCAGCAGCTGTACTTTAAACTTTGTGTTACTGATGAAACAGCTTTAAATGTGTTCAATCAGGATGAAGTGATATGTTTCTTTCAGCTTTCTTTAAAACAGCTGCATTTTAGAGCATTTTTACTCATTTACTTATATTTCCAAAGACTTTCCAAACATTTCCAGGCTAATCCGTCTCAAAGTGCACCAACAGTCAGTATTTAAAAGCATAGGCGATGCATGAACTTGTCTGATTAGTTAGATATTTGTCTGTATTTTTAAAGCATCTGATCATAGATTTTAAATCTGCTTCGACAACTAAACTAACAAAGTTTCTCCTTCCTCTTTGGTTTTCATGATCATCCAGTCATCTATGCAGACACACATGTCAGTCAATTCATCCTCCACCTCCTCGCTCAATGATCCTCAATATCATAAAGTGTGTCAGTCAATCTTTACGGCCCTCTTCATCGCCTTCCTCCTCATCCTCCTCCCTCTTTTCATCCATGTCCTGTATGTGGGCTACAGACGATGGAAGAGACAGCGCTGTAACGCCGGGGCAGAAATGACGTGCCATTCTGACGTCTTCACCTACAACATGGTGGTTCTGGAGCTCATCGCTTTGACTGGGTTTTTTTTCTACTGTTATGGCTTCTTCACTCAACAGTGGACTTTACTGAGGGTGGGGGTTTACATCTTCTCCATCGTCGCACCTGGACAGAGTCTGTTCCACGTCCTCACCTGTGTGGAGCGATACGTGGCGGTGGCTCACCCAGTCACCTACATGGGGCTGAAACAGTCAGCTGGGGTCAGGATCAGGAACATCACTATTGGGGGTGTTTGGATGATTTGCTTTGCAGAATTAATTGTGACACACAAACTCTGGTTGTTTCTTGTCTTGAATCTTTCTCTTCTGCTGGCCTCCTCCATTGTTGTCCTTTTCTGCAGTCTATCTGTCCTTCACATCTTGATTCACCCAGGGCCAAGGGAAGTGGGACAGACCAGGGAGCGGGTCGACCAAACTAGGCAGAGGGCTTTCCAAACCATTGTAGCGATAACAGGAGCTCTGTCTTTGAGGTTCTTGAGCATTGTGGTTTATGCTGTGCTGGGTCTTTTATCTGTAGTCCCCTTAGATGATTGTGTATTTGTGTGGTCCACTGCCTGCCTCTCTCTACCAAGCAGTCTAGTGCTCCCTCTGCTGTTTCTGCACAGAGCAGGAAAACTGCGCTGCAGCAAGAAAAGGACTAGACCAGGTTGAGGGGGTGTTGGTCCTGTCATGGGTTTTTAATTCAGTTTCAGTCATTTAGAGAAAACTGGAGTTAGTTGTAGTCAGATTTTGGTCTTTGTCTGATAAATTGATAAGAGAAAAGAGTTTTTATTTTCGTTTAATTTTAGTCAAAGCTGACTCAGACCATCTGTTGGTCTTTCTGACAGGACTGTTGTTGGTCATTAAAAGCTGGCCTTTAGAATAGAACAGGATAGAATAGTGAGGACAGGAGAAACAGATGCAACAGGACACAGAAGAGGTATCATCAAAATAGATACAGTATACTACGTCCATGTACAGCATGTGTCATTTATTCACAGACTTTAATTTACATGGATTTTCCTTTGTGCTCAGCATAAACGCACAATAAAATTTAAAAGGAAATATACCAAATTGTTTTCTTGAATGTGTATTTATACCGAGACTATGCAAATAAGTATTTGCAACATGCAAAAAGAAAGACGTAATCTATTGCTGTCTGCCACTATAATTAATTGTGAAAAAACCACACATATATACTCACACAAAATAGACCCGATCACATGCTCATATGTGCACAGAATCAGTGGTATTGAGGGAATGAAACAGCAAACAGTCAGTGGTTTCAGCAGCAGGACTGTCAAGAACAGCTGTCAGTAAGGTGGGTCGAAATTCACTTTTCAACTGTTTGATTGCAGTTTGATTGACCATGATGACTTTGCCATCCTACCTGAAGTAGGTGGTAGTACCATCTTACCCTAAAAGTACTGATTCCTGTCCATTAAACCTTAAAGTACTCGAAGAACTTTATTATCAACTTCTCACATGGCAGGCGTGAGTAGAATACCAAAAATTAGCAGTATTTGGGCATGGCACAGATACTGTACCAGAAAGCCAAGAACTGACTTGCCCTGAACAAGCACAGGTTCCAGACAGACTTGGAGTTTGTGGCAAAGATCCTGCAGAGAAACTCAGTCTGAGGGAAAAGTTGGTGATCCGACTGCCTAGATGTGGACCTATCAGACTGACATCAGGGTAAATTTAGAAACAAGTGCAGGAGCAGGTTCCTATCCTGAAGTTTTCTGCTTTTACATACTTTTTTAGAAGTTGTTCTGATTCTGTTCATCGTGTTTATTCAGTCATCCATGCAGAGAGGTATGGAAGGCAATTTATCCTCCAACGCCACCTTCTTCAATCTTCCGAACTACCAGCTGTGCAATGCAGTCTTCACTGGCATCTTCACTATCTACATCTTCCTCCTGCCCCTCTTCTTCTCCGTCTTGTTCCTGGGCTGTCAGCAATGGAGAAAACAGCGCTCTGGTGCCTCATCAGGAACTATGAGTCATTTGGACTTTTTCACGCTAAACATGGTTTCTATGGAGATCATTGGTGTCCTGGGCTCTTGTTTCTACTGTCATGGTGTGTATATGTTGCAAACAATGACCACAGCAATTGGGTTCATCATCTTCTCCATCGTCTCACCTGGACAGGCTCTTTTTCACCTCATCACCTGTTTCGAGCGCTATCTGGCTGTAGTTCACCCTGTCACCTACATGGGGCTGAGACAGACCTACGGGGTCAGGATCAGAAACATCACCATTGGGTGTGTTTGGCTGATTTGCATTGCATCAGCCCCTGTACAAGTACCTTATCTTAGCATCCTATTTCATGGCATTTTCTTGCTGTTGTCTTTCATTGTTGTTTTCATTTGCAACTTTTGTGTTCTCTGTGTTTTGCACAAATCTGGCCCAGGACATGCGTGCAGGAACCGGGGGCGGGTTGACCAGATGAAGCAGAGGGCTTTTCTGACCACCATGGCTATAACATGTAGTTTGTCGCTAAAGTTTTTGACTAGCACGTTTTTCATGATGTCGTACCTTCAATCAGGGATGGACTTCAAGGAACATTGTGTCCTGATGTGGTGCACTACCTGGTTCGCCCTCCCCAGCAGTCTGGTGCTTCCTCTGCTGTTTTTACAACGAGCAGGAAAACTCCCAGCTTGTAAACGCAGCAGTGAATCAGTGGGGGGTTGAATTGTTTGGGACATATTGCTTCAAGTCCATGTGTTGAAGCCCAGTATGCTCAAAGTGATCATCATCCGTTCATTTCCTTCTGCTAATTCAGGATCAGGTCCAGTTGACCCAGACATTCTGGGCCCTAGTTCCTCTTGCAGGGTCCCTTCTTGGAGTCCTTCAGACTCATAAGTGATCTAGTGACTCTGCCAGCATCTTGTTAATGTGTGATATTGTTCATACCTTTTATTTTCTTAAGTTTTGAATTCTAATGTGCATTTTTATAGTTGAATTTGTGCAAACGCACACAAATAAAACATGAAAGAATGAATAAAATGTTGAAGTAGGAATCCTTTGAAATGCATTTTACATGAAAATGGAATTTTGAAAACGTAAATACCTCACCTCCCTTTGTCCCAGACACAGCAGAGATTTGCAACATGCAAAACAAGAGGAAATCTGTCAAAATGACAAAGCATACAAGAACCTGACCTTTACAAACTCACAGTCATTAAACACTGTCACACACATACACACTTACACGCTTGCATGGATATAAGCAGTCATATATTTAGGTTGTATTGTTGTGAACAGCAGAGGCTCGTGAGAAGGACCATCAGAAACATCTACTACTGACAGGGTGGGTGTTTTTCATTGTAACCTTTTCAGTTAGTTTTACAGTAAAATGCATGATCTAATTCATGCTGCTGACTTTATGTGGCTGAAGGTTCTCCTTACCAAACATGTGGATTCAAAGTGCTGTTGGGATTTTTATACTTACTACATTTAACATTGTTGGAGTGATGTGACTCAGTAAAAATGAATACAGTTGTTTAAGGTCACAGAAATGTGCCATATTATAAGAAAATGTAGTTTAATACAGATGTATTTATACAGCTGGAGGTCGCTAATATTTCATGATTATATTTTTAATGGTTTGAAGACACCACCTCATGTTGGTAAGGGAAAAAAATACACCCACTGTGTTTTAAGTTGTTGCCCGTTACTCTCCAACAGTGAAGCTCACAGGAATTTGACAAATCCATCTACGCCTGAATACTCATTTTTTATTACACCATCTTTGTCTTTGTTGGACAATCGACCAAAACCCATTTGTCTCTTAATTTGAAGGAGAACGTCTCAGAGCCAAGGAGGATAAAGTTAACTTTAATAACCTTGATTGGAGACAGCGTGTGGTTATGTGATGGTCCTAACCTCACAGTCTGGCCTGGTCTTACTCTCAATGCTGTCACTCTTTGTGTCCCTACAGTCAGCCATGCAAACAAACCTGTCAGGTAATTCCTCCTGCTACTACCTTGCTGACTGGCAGAATTACCAAATATGCCATCACATCTTTACGGCCCTCTTCATCTGCCACATCCTCCTCCTCCCACTCCTCTTCCTCGTTCTGTTCGTGGGCTACAGTCAGTGGAGGAAACGGCGCTCTGGAGCCGCATCAGAAACAACAACCCACTCTGACGTCTTCACCTACCACATGGTTGCTGTTGAGTTGATCAATGTCTCAGGATTGTGCTTTTACTGTGTTGGTGTCTACACTTGCAGAGTGGTTTTGGTAATTGTTTCATTCAGTGTCTCTTCAATAGTCTCAACTTGGCAGAATCTGTTTCACGTCCTCACCTGTGTAGATCGATACCTGGCTGTCATTCACCCTGTCCTGTACCTTGGTCTGAAACAGTCCAGTGGGGTCAGGATCAGAAATATTTGCATAGGATGTGTTTGGTTGATGGGTTTTGGAGCCAGCTTTGTTGTTGGGTCCCCTCTTGCCCAGGTAACTCTGAATGTGACTGCCTCACTCATCTGCTTGATTGCTGTCTGCTTCTGCAGCCTCAACATCCTCTTTGTTTTGATCCGTGCCGGGCCAGGGGGTAGGGATCGGGTCCACCAGTCCAAGAGGAGAGCCTTTCAGATCACTATGGTTATTCTGGTGGCTCTACTGATGAAGTTCCTGACCATAGTGTTCTTCACCTTAGCATACGAAGAATTAGGGTTTAGCGATGGCGGAGACTGTATTATGGTCTGGTCTTTGACTGTGCTGGCCTTCCCCAGCAGTCTGGTGCTTCCTCTGTTGTTTTTACACAAAGCAAGAAAACTTCCTGCATGCAAATGAAAAACCTGAAGCAGGCGGAGTGATCAACTCTCTGGGCTTTGTCATAGATATGAGGGTATGGATCCAAGTAATCCGTGGCCAACAGATTTTCAAATGAAAAAATGAAAAATCTGGAGACGAGCTGTCTCCCTACAATCAGTGAGGAATCAAGACATGAAAAAGAGGAAAAAAAACTGTCTGCCATTTTTCATTTTGATCATGAAAATCTGTGAATGGTGACATGGTTACGGATAGGTTTTAGCATGTTGAGCTAGTTGCCAGTATCTTGTACTTCGCATTTCCTAACCATGCATCTCCTAAAGATGATTTCTATAACTGCTAAACTTAGCGATTGTCACTGTTCTGTTTTTTATTTTGCTGCTTTGAGAAACTTTAACCCCCAATTTCTACCGAATCTGGAACGGCTATGAAAAGGCAGTATCCGCCAATGGTAGCTGATCGTAACCATTTAAGTTAATGTGTCTGTTTCCACCAGCTTCTTTCCGTTCTGCTGTGGATCAGCAGACTCTGCAGCTGATCCCAAGAGTTCTATTTTTCTGGACGCCGGAGCATGCCGGATAAATTCGGCACAGATTAACCCGTGCTGGAAAGGAAGTCGGGCACAGACACAAAATAAAACATCCGGCTTCTTTTCAAAATAAAACACTCCGTGTTTCAGGAGGATCGTATTTCACACCATGCAAACAGGCGGAGACGAACAAGTGAAAGGTTTTTAGACGTCATTTCACCCCGATGACACCATGGATGAGGAGATGCTGATTCTGGAAATCTAGAAGTAGATTTCCTCCTCTGGAGGGACACAATCTACTGCTCATATGTTTAGACTATGTGGCTGTCTTTATAGACACAACCTGTTATCGCACAATTGCAAGTGAATCCGCAGGTTCTTGTGAGTTCTCGCGATTCCTGCTGTCCAGAATCTGCCACGAAATTCGCCTCACAAACAGATCCGGTAGGAATTGGCGTATGGTGAAAATTGTGTCCTGATGTGGTGCACTACCTGTTTCACCCTCCCCAGCAGTCTGGTGCTTCCTTTGCTGTTTTCACAAAGAGCAGGAAAACTTCCGGCTTGTAAACACAGCAGTGAATCAGTGAGGAGTAGAATTGTTTGGGAAATATTGCTTCACATCATGTGTAAAAGGCCGGTATGCTCAAAGTCATCCGGAAAAGCAACATCATCTATTTCCTTCTGCTGATTCAGAATCAGGTCCAGTTGACCCAGACTTTCTGTGCCCTAGTTCCTCTTGCAGGATCCCTCCTTGGAGTCCCTCAGACTCATAAGTGATCTGATAACTCTGCCATCATCTTGTTAATGTGTGATATTGTTCATACCTTTTATTTTCTAATGTTTTGAATTCTAATGTGCATTTTTATAGTTGAGTTTGTGCAAACTACTTCAGACACAAATAAAATGTGAAATATTAAATAAAATGTTGAGGTAGGAATCCTTTGAAATGAAGATTGAATTCTAAAAATGTAAATATCTCACCTCTCTTTGTCCCAAAGACACAGCAGAGATTTGCAACATGCAAAACAAGAAGAAATCTGTCATAATTACAAAGTATACAACAACCTGACCTTTATGAACTCACAGTCATAAAACACTTACACACACACACACACACACACACACACACTTGCATGGATATAAGCAGTCACATATTCAGGTTGTACTGACATGAAGAGCAGAGGCTCGTGAGAAGGACCATCAGAAACACCGACTGCTGACAGGGTGGGTGTTTTTATTATAACCTTTTCAGTTACTTTGACATTAAAACACACTATTCAATTTATGCTGCTGACTTTATATGGCTGAGAAGGTTCTCCTTATCAAACATGTGGATTCAAAGTGCTGTCGGGATTTTTATACTTACATTTAACATTGTTGGAGTGATGTGACTCAATAAAAATGATTACAGTTGTTTAAGGTCACAGAAATGTGCAATATTATAAGAAAATGTAGTTTAATACAGATGTATTTATACAGCTGGAGGTCGCTAATATTTCATGATTATATTTTTAATGATTTGAAGACATCATCTCATGTTGATAAAGGAAAAAAATACACCCACTGTGTTATAAGTTGTTGCCCGTTACTCTCCAACAGTGAAGCTCACAGGAATTTGACAAATCCATCTACGCCTGAATACTCTGTTTTTATTACACCATCTTTGTCTTTGTTGGACAATCGACCAAAACCCACTTGTCTCTTAATTTGAAGGAGAACGTCTCAGAGCCAAGGAGGATAAAGTTAACTTTCACTTCTCTTTGTGTCCCTACAGTCAGCCATGCAAACAAACCTGTCAGGTAATTCCTCCTGCTACTACCTTGCTGACTGGCAGAATTACCAAATATGCCATCACATCTTTACAGCCCTCTTCATCTGCCACATCCTCCTCCTCCCACTCCTCTTCCTCGTTCTGTTCGTGGGCTACAATCAGTGGAGGAAACGGCGCTCTGGAGCTGTATCAGAAACAACAACCCACTCTGACGTCTTCACCTACCACATGGTTGCTGTTGAGTTGATCAATGTCTCAGGATTGTGCTTTCACTGTGTTGGTGTCTACACTTGCAGAGTGGTTTTGGTAATTGTTTCATTAAGTGTCACTTCAATAGTCTCAACTTGGCAGAATCTGTTTCACGTCCTCACCTGTGTAGATCGATACCTGGCTGTCATTCACCCTGTCCTGTACCTTGGTCTGAAACAGTCCAGTGGGGTCAGGATCAGAAATATTTGCATAGGATGTGTTTGGCTGCTGGGTTTTGGAGCCAGCATTGTTGTTCAGTTTCTCAATGCCCAGGTTACTCTGAATGTGACTGCCTCACTCATCTGCTTAATTGTTGTCTGCTTCTGCAGCCTCAACATCCTCTTTGTTTTGATCCGTGCCGGGCCAGGGGGTAGGGATCGGATCCACCAGTCCAAGAGGAGAGCCTTTCAGATCACTATGGTTATTCTGGTGGCTCTACTGATGAAGTTCCTGACCATAGTGTTCTTCACCTTAGCGTACCATAAATTGGGGTTTAGCGACGGCGGAGACTGTATTATGGTCTGGTCTTTGACTGTGCTGGCCTTCCCCAGCAGTTTGGTGCTTCCTCTGTTGTTTTTACACAAAGCAGGAAAACTTCCTGCATGCAAATGAAAAACCTGAACCAGACGGTGTGATCAACTCTTTGGGCTTCGTCATAGATATGAGGGTATGGATCCATGTAATTTGTAGCCAACGGTTTTTCGTTTTCAAATGAAAAATATGAAAAATCAGGAGACAAACTGTCTTCCGTTTTTCATTTTGACCATGAAAATCTGAGAATGGTGATTACAAGGTTATGGATAGGTTTTAGCATGTCGAGCTAGTCGCCTGCATCTTGTACATTGCATTCCCAGTACTAAAGATGAATGCATTAACCGCTTTACTGAGTGAGTGCCATTGTACCGTTTTCTATTTCGCTGCTTTGAGAAACTTTAAGAAAATGGATCACATTCTAACGGCTGTTTCTTAATCTGCTCGTTAATTTTAATAGCAGCGACTGTAGAACAAATCCACCAGTTAACACATACTGGTCATTGTATATGCAAATACTGATCCAGAAAGCAGAAAAATCCTAGCAGACGGTTTCGTTCACGGTCATGGCTGGAAAAGAAACACATGCAAAACAGGTGTGATAGGTTTTTGGGATGCAAAAAGGTCAAAGCAGCAAGTGGTGATGCAAATGAGGAAGTAAATCAAGTATTTCTGATAAAATGTCAGAGCTGTGTGTGACTCCACAGAGTGATTTATCGTTTTGTGATCTGAGGTGTGGAAAAGACTGTAGTGGAATTTCTGCGTTACTGAAAGACTGATGTGTCTCTGCAGTTGAGATGGTCTGCAAGCATGTCAATAGAAACGATTCCTGGGTGTCTGATTGTGATTCCATTTGTATCTTGAGTTGTGTGATGGTGTTGTAGAATAGAGAATCCTTTAAATACTGTTGAGTTAAAAAATGGTTACTGTGCAGTAAATGACAAACTCCTTAGACAAATAAAGCCAGATTACATATATTCAGTTATTTTCCTTCATTGTGTATTCCTGTTGATAAATGATCAGATCAATGGGCTAAACTAAAGATTAGTCAAATAGTCTCAAAGGACCTGTAAACCTTTGACTCTTTGTCCCAGACATAGCGCGGGTTTGCATTATGCAAAAAGACTATAGTTATGAAGCTGTCTGTCATAACGTCTCATACTTCAAGCTCAGCTGTTCTTCCACAAACGTAGTCATACACGCCCTCATACGCATAAGCATAAATATTTTACATATCAGTAAAGAAGGGCCAGTGATTCTGGAGACTCAGGAGAAAGACCGTCTACTGATACAAACAAGGTGGGTGTGATGACTCTCAATACGTTTTTTTAAAAGTAGTTTGAATGTAGAAATGATTAAATAACTTAAAATTTTGTTTGATTTCAACAGATTTCCAATGTCTTCGAGTTCTCTGAGAGAAATAACTCAGTAAGTACATAAAAGTGGTGCAAAGCAAATGATGGGTTGACATAGATCATAGTTGTAGGGTCGAGTTTCTTGACAAAGGTGACTCTCAGGAATCGGAGACTCTGCAGACTCTGTGTCTGAGGTAAGCTGGCACCAAGGGTGAGTTCACTATGTAGGGAAAGAGGCTGTGACCCTGAAGCTGGAAGACCGTGAGATTGAGCAGAGAGTGAGATGTCTTCAGAAACATCTCAAATTTTAATCATCCTTCATTCTTGGTAGGAGCGTGTCCTGGATTTACATCAGAACAACTTCACAAAGTTAAAGGTTCTTGTTCGTGTTCAAGGGACTTTCCGTAACTCTAAGTACTAAGTCTCTCTTTTGTGTTTGTTTCTTCATGTCCTTACAGTCAATAACACTGAGACATGTTGGACAATTCATCCTCCAACTCCACCTCTCATTACTGGCAAAGTTTACGAGCATGTTTCCCCATCTTTGTTGCCATCTTCCTCTGCTACATCCTTTTTTTCCTCCCACTCCTCATCTCTGTCTTGTATGAGGGCTACCGTCGATGGAGGAAACAGCACTCTGGCACCACATCAGGAACGGCCAGCCACGCCGATGTCTTCACCTACCACATGGTTGCCATGGAGCTGATCAGTGTCTGTGGCTCTTGTTTCTACTGTTACGGTGAAAGCAGTAATCATATGGTTGTGTTTATGGTGGGAATGTACTTATGGTTCATCATTGTACCTGGGCAGAGTCTGTTTCACATTCTTACCTGTGTGGAACGGTACCTGGCTGTGGTACACCCGGTCACCTACCTGAGACTTAAACAGTCCGGCGGGGTCAGGATCAGGAACATCACCATTGGCTGTGTTTGGCTGATAAGTATGGTAGCCCCGCCTGTTTTTCTGTTCATTCCCTTCTGTAAGATTTTATACATCATGTTCTTGCTCGTGTCCCTGATCGTTGTCGTCTTCTGCAGCCTTCGAGTCCTCTGTGTTTTAAGACACCCTCGGCCAGGGGACCAGAGCGGGGATAGGACTGGGGTTGACCGGTCTAAGAGGAGAGCTTTTCAGACCATCATGGTTATAATGGGGGCTCTAACACTGAGGTTCTTGAGCTCAGTGGTTAATACTTTTGTGAGCTCTCATTGTGTACTGAGGTGGTCTTTGGCTTTGCTCTCTTTGCCTAGTAGTCTGGTGCTACCTCTGCTGTTTTTACACGGAGCAGGAAAACTGCCGAGCTGCAGACCGAAGAATAAATCCGGCTGACAAATCAAATCTTAGATCCGGTAATTAGTTCTTATAAATCATTTTTACACCGTCTCAGCAAATTTTAGGAGTTTTATAACCTTTTACCAAAAATGAGGTCAATCTGTGATTTCACTGTAGTACAATAGGTGGCGCTGTGATGGACTAGCACTCCTGGTTTCATTTTCTTTGAAAGCAGAACTCTGTCAGTGTTGGTGTGACATTGTAAAATGAAAACTCTCATTTTCCTCCTTTTGTTCTGTATGATGGACTTTAGTCTCTATCCTCTGAATCACAACGTAGATTACGTGACTTGTTCCACATGTTCCATTTAGGTCAGCGCAAATGCTGAAACTGGTTTGTTCTGTTTTATAAGTTCATCTGTGTGTACTGTCATCTAATAAACAGACTTAAAACACCCTGGTCATTGTCAGACGGTCTCAGATTTCCATGTTCCTGTTAGCGAACCAAAACTCTCCCCAGACGAGGGGACCAAAAGATGACAAATGCACTCTGGGACAGCCATGCAGATAAAATGCTGTGGATCTCTGACACAGCTGATTACAATATTAGAGATCACCTTTTTCTGTCAATGCAGCGTAGGAGGGTTAAAGAAAGCTGTGAAGGTTTTCCATCAGCTCTTATTTGAACCGTTTAGAGTTTTACTACCTCAAACCAAACTCTATCAGATGAACCAGACTTTGATGTATTTGTCCAAAAGGATTATATTTTTGTCATCACTTTTTAAGTGTTCATGATTTGATCCAGCAAAGTTGAAGTTATAAATCTGTGTAGAATCACAGCATTCATTTTGTGGCACACCTGTGCAGGTAAACATGGATTACTAATGAGAACACCTATTTAAAGTTACAGCAAAGATTTGTGTTATGCAAAAAACCCTCCAACGTGATGCAATCTATCACTGTGACAAGCTGTGCATTACACACATATGTATGTATGTGAGCACAGTGGCATATGGATCATTTGGCGGTGGACCGTGGAAAGTGACGTGGATTAAGAAAAGGTGGATCTGGAACAGCTGCTGTCAGAGTGAGTGAGGTTTGAAGTGTTTTTTTTTTTCATTTAGACCTTTGACATAAAAAAAGATAAATTCCAGGTATGACAGATTTGCAGAACTACTCAGGAGATCGACTTGATCTTAAATGACCCAAAAGTTTGATTTCTGAAACTTGGTGCGTCTGATAGAGGTGCTTTTACAAACGTTCACATTTTACCCGCTAGTCGACTTTAAGTTTGAGAAACAAGTGTCTCTAACTGTTTCCATGTTTTTTTCCTTGTGTGCCTCGGTCAGCATGAACTTTTTCTGAACCATTTTCAACATTTACCATCAGGGAAACTTGTTAAAACTTCCTTTCGCTCAGTTTTGCAGCAGATAGCTGTGTTACTGTGGAAAAAATAAAATCTGTCTTTGAACTTGAGTTCTTTTTTCTATGGATAAGTATCACACAACTTCAGATTTAAATGCTTTTTGAACATTTCTCGGGCGCACCAGGTAGTTTGGAAAATATCTCACTCTTTCTTACGTTGTTCTGACACTGTCTCTCTCCTTCTTCTCTTTCTAGTCGTCCATTTGAATAGTCATGTCAGTCAATTCGTCCTCCATCCTCCGCTCTAGTGACTGGCAAAATTTCCCAATATGCCTTTCGATCTTCACAATCACCTTCACTGTTAACATCCTCACCATCCCCATCTTCGTTCTGGTCTTGTACATGGGTTTCCAGCGACGGAGGAAACAGTGTTCTGGCACTAAACCGGCGAGCCACTCTGACATCTTCACCTACAACATGGTTATCATCGAACTCATCGCTATCTTAGGGTCCTGTTTCTACTGTTACGGCATATACACAGGTGCCATGGTTATATTCCAGCTTGGTCTTAACCTATGGTCCGTCATCGAACCTGCTACCTGGGCCTGAGCGCTACCTGGCTGTTGTTCACCCTGTAACCTATCGAGGGCTGAAGCAGCCAGGTGGGATCAGGATCAGAAACATCATCATCGGATGCAGTTGGCTATTCAGTTTTATAATGCCATATTTAGTTATGTATATTCCTTTCTCTTACATCTTAAAATTCATATGGTTGTTCATTGTCATAATGATTGTCTGCTTTTTCAGCCTTTCTGTTCTCTGTGCTCTGACTAATCCAACGCCGGGACAAACGAGCTCTAACAGGGGAACGGTTGACCAATCCAAGCGCAGGACTTTTAACACCATCATGATAATCATGGGAACTCTGCTTTCTAAGTTCGGGGTAGAGATAACTGACACTGTGCTGGCAGTTTCAGTGGAGGTGACTGCCACTACTAGATGTATGGTATCCTGGTCTTTAGCTTGGTTATCTCTGCCCAGCTGCCTGGTGCTTCCTCTGCTGTTTCTACAACGAGCAGGAAAACTACCAGGCTTCAGACACAGCAGAGAGTCAGCCTGAGACCTCCACGAGTGCTAGCAATAATATCAGATATTAAAGATAATAATAATAATAAAATAAAATAAATATAAATATAAAAATAGATAAACAAACAAATAATAATAACAATAATGAAAATGATAATAATAATAAAAAACCTATAATTATAGTAATTTTAATGATCAAAATAAAAACAATAATTGTAATAATTATATTGATAAAAAATAACAATAGAGAAAAAAATAATGATAATAAAATAAAATTAAATATCATGATAATTATAATAATAGAAATAATAATAAAAATAAAAACAACAATAAAATGATTAAAAAATAATAAAAATAAAAAATAATAATAAAATAATAATAATAATAATAGAAATAAAATAAAAACAATACTTATAATGATAAATAATAATAATGATAAATCATAACAACAACAACAACAATAATAATAATAATAATAATGATGATGATAATAATGATAATTGTAATAATTTACCTACTGTTACCCCTGTTGTTTTTGCTATTGTTCATTTTCTGACTTGATCAGTCTTAACTCACCTCGTTCCTCGTTCCTTGCACCTTTCGTTGAACCCTTTTTGAGTGCTGCTTTTGCTTTTTCTTCAGGCAGACATGCCTTTATTCAATCAGGGAAATTTGTCTATTTATTGTAGATCATTTAAACTGGGCCCAAATGACACTCGTGCCCCACATTTGTACCAACTCGAATTGTGTATTTCAGTGAAGTTGTGCACAGATTCTAATTAATCCACCTTCTGTCTGATTTTCTGAATGTGTACTGTTGGGATTTAATGATTGTCTCTGCCCGATCTTTTTGATGATATTCAGCTGTATGTATTCAATTTTCACACATCAGAACCTACATGTAGATACCTCCTTATTAAAACAGCTTTAAACAATAAACGCATGCACACATGATGGCTGAGAGCGCGCACAGCCACCCTCAGTGGTCTGATTTGAATAAACAGCAGGTTAGTTCACGGCTGATTTGAATCCTGTCATTCCTCCACCACAACATACAGCGGACACCAAATAATTGATGTCCACGACGGTTACGCTCATGTCATGAAACCCCAGACATGGACAAAGATATCTGTCAAAGTTGTAAATTGTATTGCAGCTGAGAGTGAACCCACATGTTGTCCAGCCTGATGAGAGACTTTCATTTATCATCTGATGAATTGATTTATTGATTATCAGCCCAGGTTTAAAACAAATACAGGTGTACAGGTGCACGCAGGTGGCCACATTGACTGGAAGAATAATGTAAAGGGGAAATTTGCCTGCTGTGGTTGATTGTTGGAGCCATCAGGAAAGTTATCCAACATGCAAAACAGCCCCTGCTTCATTATATGACTCTGACATATGAACATCATAAATGCCTCCAGAAACCACTGCAGAGTCTTCATCGAATCTGTGGACGTCAGCGAGCGACCATCACTGCCAAACACCTTCCACCAGGTAGGAGATCAGGGATGACTTTTTTAGTCTTAAGATGATTTAATGAGACATCCGGATCAGGAGAGGACAGTTTTTGTCGGTCAAAAACCTTCACTGGGATATTTGTACATCTGGACGAGCTGCAAAGACATGCAGAGCAGAAACTCCTCTCCTCTCATGGTCCTCTCATTTTCCATCCTTCACCCACGTCACCTTAGTTCTATTCTGTTTTTCATGCTGGATTAGATCGTTAGCATTCTGATTGATGAGAGAAATTATTTTAAAATTCAACTTAATAATTTTATCGTAGGAGGAATCAGTCTGTAAATATGCTGTCGAGGGTTTAAGTTTCAGTGCAGATAGCGAGCTCTGTTGCATGTGGTAAAGGACTTTTTTGGAACTTTCAAGGTCCAGATGCTGATCATTTCTCTGTTTCCCCTCAGGTCTCACCCTGCAAACTGCTGATATGTCGAACAACTCCTCTTCAGATCCAGGACTGTATGATTGCAGCAGCTCTTCAGCTACTTTTATAGTTACTGCCTACAGTTCGGCCAGACTTCTCCTTCTCGTTCCCCTCTACACCCTGGTTCTGTATCTGGGTTTCCAACACTGGAGGCAGCACCGCTCCTTCACAACAGCCAGTCACTCTGATATCTTCACCTACCATGTGGCTGCTCTCCAGTTTATCTGGGTTTTGACTTTCATCTTCTTAGTTTGGGTTTCATCCTCTGGTCCTGATCAGATGATTGTGTTTTCTTTCTTTCTCATGTGCTTTTCTTGGTACGTGGAGAACTTCTTTCACGTCCTGACCTGTGTGGAGAGATACCTGGCTGTTGTCCACCCCATCACCTACATGAGGCTGAAAAACGCCCGTGGGGTCAGGATCAGGAACATCAGCATAGTCTGTGTTTGGTTTCTGTCCTCAGTATATAGTGTTGTCGTTTCTGCATGTTATAACCCTCGGTTCCCCATCCCCTTTATGATCCCGTTTAGTGTCTGTTTGGTTGCTGTGACTTTCTGCAGCTTCTCTGTTCTCTACGTTCTGATTCGTCCTGGTCCTGGAGAAGGAGGCCAGGACAGGGGGCGGGTGGACCAATCAAAGAAAAGGGCGTTTGTCACCATCACAGTCATAATGCTGATGCTATGGCTGTGGTTTGGTGGAATTATTGTTTTCTACGCCTTCTATGTCATGGTAATTGTGAGAAATGATGTAATTTGTGTGTTTGTAGTTATTTCGTTCTGGTTCAGTCTGCCCAGTGGTTCAGTGTTACCTCTGCTGTTTCTACACAGGGCTGGTAAACTGGCAATTTGTTTCCATAAAAATAACTGAAATCAGGTTTCAGTGGCACATTTGTACTAGTCATTGTGTAACTGTTTCTTTGTCTCTATTCTTTCTGCTCTTTGTCTTCACTGGAGTTCTCGACTTGATGTATGCACTGATCTTGTTGTATGTTATTACATGGTAATAGTGTTTTATACTCAATGGTCTGTCATTTCTGTTGAGACAGAGGTTGCAAATTAGCCATGGCTAGAAAACTGTATCTCATGCATGCTCCTGTCAAAAACAAACAAACAATTAAAATAAATGAATAAACCATAAAAAACCATGAATCGGATTGGACAGTGCCCGTTTGGGGGCGTGGTTTTGTGAAAGGTCAATGGGAAACCCAGTAAGATGAAGTTAAGGGGCGACTAATCCTCTTTTACAAATACCTGTTTATATTGGATTCCTAAAATTCACTTTGTTCATGTCTGAACTCTTACAATTTAAAATGATTTGTTTTCATCTAAATATCCAAAGCTAGCTTGAAAGTGATCAATATTTCTGCAAATTCAACAGACTACAGTTTAAACAACAAAAAAAAAGCCTGTACCTTTAAGTTCTGTATTTATGTGCAAATCATCCTTACCATCCTAAACTCTACCATGTGTGAAACTGCCTCTGGTTGGATCCCCCAGCTCTGGTTTAGAGTATAAAAGGTTACTCAGAGGTCACTGGAAAATAAATGAGAAACGTAAATTTGCCTCCTTTGATTTATTGTATGACCAATCACAAACTTGTTGTTTGAGATGCAAAACAGCTCGTTCTTCAACTTGTCACTTTGACAAATACAAAAAAAAAAAAAGGATTTAACCGAAGTCACTCGCTTGTTGGGGGGGATCAGAGACTAGTGAAGAGTTGTTGAGGAACCATCTCTCACCAACACCTTCAACCAGGTAGGAGATCATTGATATCCAATAGATTTTTAGAGAATTTATGAAGACAAGCTGAATCTAAAATCTAGAAAAAGTAGTTTTGTCAGTTTGACTTCTTCCTCAGAGTATTTCTACAAAGTTTGAACGGATTGAATTGTGCAGAAATTCTTGACCTGGTCCAGACTGGTTTACAGTCGTAGAGGTCCCTTCACTCAGAATAATTTTCTGTCATTTATTTCTGTCCTTTCTTCTCTGCAGGTCATAACCTGCAAACAGCCGACATGCAACACAACTTTTCTTTTAATTCAACAGCCAATGATTGCAGCAACTACAGTGTTAATCATGTGCTTGGCATTTCAATTCAGTTGACTAGAATAGTCGTCCTTGTTCCCATCTACACCCTGGTTTTTTATCTTGGCCTCCAACAATGGAGACAACACCACTCCTTCTCAACAGCCAGCCACTTTGATATCTTCACCTACAATATGGCTGCCCTACAGTTAATCTGGGTTTGGGCTTCAGTCATTTCAATATTAAGTTCATTCACTGGAATCCCACAGACAGTTGAAATGTTCCCTTTTCTGTTTTGCATCGCTTGGTTTGGAGAGAACTTCTTTCACGTCCTGACTTGTCTGGAGAGATACCTGGCTGTTGTCCACCCCATCACCTACATGAGGCTGAGAAAGGCTCGTGGAATCAGGATCAGGAACATTAGCATAGTCTGTGTTTGGGTTCTGACACCTTTGCTGAGCGGCCTTGTTTATGTGAACTTTCACCCTCAGTTCCTAGTCAGTTTTCTGACCCCTTTTGGCGTCTGTTTGGCTGCTGTGACTTTCTGCAGCTTCTCTGTTCTCTATGTTCTGATTCGTCCTGGTCCTGGAGAGGGAGGCCGGAATGGGGGACGGGTTGACCGATCAAAACTAAGAGCTTTCATCACCATCACTGTGATATTGGTGGTGCTATGGCTGTGGTTGGGTGGGATTCTTGTGTCCTACACTCTTTATGGCTCTTATCTTGTGGGTATGGATGTCAAGTGTTCGTTAATGACGTGTGTTTATGTGTTCAACATTCCTAGTTCGATGGTCTCACCTCTGCTGTATCTACACAGGGCAGGAAAACTGTCATGTTCCTGGTACAGTAAAGGCTGAGATAAGCATTTATAAACATGCTAGATTAGTTAATGTGGGATTGTAAATACTTGGGTTGTTGGACCAGCAAATTAGCTTGAAGCTGCTTAGTGTTTTTATCATAATTAGCTGCTCGATAGTGTTGGAATATTGTTTTGCCTACTCTGATTGATTGTCTAAGCCATTAGAAATATGTTGTTCAACATGCAAAACAGCTCCCTCTACACTTTTTCACTTTACATGTTAACGTCATAATCAGACCACGCTCACGAACACATGAGCACAGATCGTCAAGCAACCAGTAAAGAGCTGCCACTGAGTCTGTGGATGCCATAGAGCAATCATCAGAACTAAACACCTTCAACCAGGTAGGAGATCATTGATATCCATTCATTTTTCAGTGTATGTATTAAGACAAGCTGAATCTAAAATCTAGAAAAAGCAGTTTTGGTCAGTTTGTCTTCTTCCTCAGACTATTTGAACAAAGTTTGAACAGATTGAAATGTGCAGAAATTCTTGACCTGTTCCAGACTGGTTTACCGTGTTAGAGGTTCCATTCTGTGAATGGTTGTTCACAGAATAATTTCTGTTATTTTTTTTCTGTCCTTTCTTCTCAACAGGTCATGACCTGCAAGCAGCCAATATGCAACACAACAGTTCTTTAGATTCAACAGCCAATGATTGCGGAGCGATAGTTTATAATGTGCTTGGCATTTCAATTCAGTTGACTAGAATAGTCGTCCTTATTCCTGTCTACACCCTGGTTTTCTATCTTGGTGTCCAACAATGGAGACAACAACGTTCCTTCTCAGCAGCCAGCCACTCTGATATCTTTACCTACAATGTGGCAGCTCTACAGTTAATCTGGGTTTGGGCTTCAGTCATCTGGGTATGGGCCACATTCACTGGAATCCCACAGATGGCTGCACTGTTCTTTTTTCTGTTTTTCATTGTTTGGCTTGGAGAAAACTTCTTTCACGTCCTGACTTGTCTGGAGAGATACCTGGCTGTTGTCCACCCCATCACCTACATGAGGCTGAGAAATGCTCGTGGAGTCAGGATCAGGAACATCAGCATAGTCTGTGTTTGGGTTCTGACCTTTTTGCTAAGCGGCCTTGCTTATGTGGACCTTCACCCTCAGTTCCCTACCATGTTCCTGACCACAATTGGTGTCTGTTTGGCTGCTGTGACTTTCTGCAGCTTCTCTGTTCTCTATGTTCTGATTCGTCCTGGTCCTGGAGAGGGAGGCCGGAATGGGGGACGGGTTGACCGATCAAAACTAAGAGCTTTCATCACCATCACAGTGATATTGGTGGTGCTGTGGCTGTGGTTGGGTGGGATTCTTGTTTCCTACAGTCTTTATGGCTCTAATCTTGTGAGCATGGATGTCAAGTGTTTCTTGCTGACGTCTGTTTATGTGTTCAACATTCCTAGTTCGATGGTCTCACCTCTGCTGTATCTACACAGGGCAGGAAAACTGTCATGTTCCTGGTACAGTAAAGGCTGAGATAAGCATTTATAAACATGCTAGATTAGTTAATGTGGGATTGTAAATACTTGGGTTGTCGGACCAGCAAGTTAGCTTGAAGCTGCTTAGTGTTTTTATCATAATTAGCTGCTCGATAGTTGTGGAATATTGTTTTGCCTACTCTGATTGATTGTCTAAGCCATTAGAAATATGATATTCAACATGCAAAACAGCTCCCTCTTCACTTTTTCACTTTGACGTGTTAACAGCATAATCAGACCACACTCACGAACACAAAAGCACAGATCGTCAAGCAACCAGTAAAGAGCCGCCACTGACTCTGTGGATGCCATAGAGCAATCATCAGAACTAAACACCTTCAACCAGGTAGGAGATCATTGATATCCAATCAGTTTTCTGTTGATGTATTAAGACCAATGGAATCTTAAATCTAGAAAAAGTAGTTTTGGTCAGTTTGACTTCTTCCTCAGAGTTTATCAACAAACATTGAACAGATTGAAATGTGCAGAAATTCTTGACCTGGTCCACACTGGTTTACCGTTGAATAGGTCCATTTACTCTCAATCTTACACCTACATTTGCGATGGTTGTTCACGGAATAATTGCTGTAATTTCTTTCTCTCCTTTCTTCTCTGCAGGTTGTAACCTGCAAACAGCTGACATGCAACACAACTCTTCTTTAATTCAACAGCGAATGATTGCGGAGCGATAGTTTATAATGTGCTTGGCATTTCAATTCAGTTGACTAGAATAGTCGTCCTTGTTCCTGTCTACACCCTGGTTTTCTATCTTGGTGTCCATCAATGGAGACAACAACGCTCCTTCTCAACAGCCAGCCACTCTGATATCTTCACCTACAATGTGGCAGCTCTACAGTTAGTCTGGGTTTGGGCTACAGTCATCTGGGTATGGGCCACATTCACTGGAATTCCACAGATAGTTGCAATGTACCCTTTTCTGTTTTGCAATGCTTCGTTTGGAGAGAACTTCTTTCATGTCCTGACTTGTCTGGAGAGATACCTGGCTGTTGTCCACCCCATCACCTACATGAGGCTGAGAAAGGCTCATGGAATCAGGATCAGGAACATCAGCATAGTCTGTGTTTGGCTTCTGACCTTTTTGCTAAGCGGCCTTGTTTATGTGGACCTTCACCCTCAGTTCCCCACCATGTTCCTGACCCCGATTGGCATCTGTTTGGCTGCTGTGACTTTCTGCAGCTTCTCTGTTCTCTATGTTCTGATTCGTCCTGGTCCTGGAGAGGGAGGCCGGAATGGGGGACGGGTTGACCGATCAAAACTAAGAGCTTTCATCACCATCACAGTGATATTGGTGGTGCTGTGGCTGTGGTTGGGTGGGATTCTTGTTTCCTACAGTCTTTATGGCTCTAATCTTGTGGGTATGGATGTCAAGTGTTCGTTAATGATGTGTGTTTATGTGTTCAACATTCCTAGTTCGTTCGTCTCACCTCTGCTGTATCTACACAGGGCAGGAAAACTGTCATGTTCCTGGTACTATAAAGGCTGAGATAGTCATTAATAAACATGCTTGATTAGTTAATGAGGGATTGTAAATACAAGGAGCATGCAGACCGGCAACTTAGCTTGAAGCTGTTTCATTTTTTTATCATAATTAGCTGCTTGATAGTTATGGAATATTGTCTGTACAAACTGTATTTTGTTTAGATTTTGTTCAGGTTTTGCATCCAAAACTTTCTGTATGAGTTCTAACAATTCTTCCAAAATGAGACCAGTTGAATCCTTTCTTGTTTACATGCAAATAAATGATGTAATGCCATGCTAAAAGAAATCTAAATCTTTATTTTTCTGCTGATCTTCAATCTTCTTGTGTAGTTCTCAATCAGCCAGATCATGGTTGTCCAATTCTTTGTTGAAAGGGCAGCTGTATTTGTTTGAGGTTCTTGGGGAAGTTCTGCCTCTCATGAAAGGTCTTTGAGAACCTCCTGACCAAGGTCCTAAGCTCAACCTACAATAAACCAGCTGATCCTAATTCCAGCTCATAGGTCAGCTAATAACTTTTCTCACCTCTAACTGGTAAATGTCAGAGAGGACGTTCTCTTTAACCTGCTTCAGTCTGCCTTCTTACCGCTACCCTCAGGACACCTTTACCACCCATCTCCACCCCAGCTCCTCCTCTTGTGCAGTATCTGATCTTACCGGTGTCATAAATATTGTTCCTTTTGATACTGCTGCTCTCCTTACATTGGCTTTCAGGTGCTTTTCTTGCATAAGGCTTTGGCATATGCTGAGAGTAAGCGGAGGTGCAGGGAGCACTCAGACTTGTCTATTACCGACGCATGCAAGTAAATCATTCTGTTGAGAAAAGTGGTCCTGACTGAACCAAATTACAAATTGAACCATTGCAGAACTACTGTTTTATTTTTTTACCCAGGCAGATAGTTTTGAAATAATGTTTGTTAGAAATTTCAGTGAACAATTCTGTACCATGGAAAATCTTCTGAAGTGTATAGTCATATGTAAATCACTAATCACAGACTTTTCTTGTGCTGCCTTGTCATCAAGGTCAATCTTGTTGTCTGCCTGTAAATTCTGTATTCATGTAAAAACCGTCCTGTTGTTCTTGGAGTTAACAAATGTTGAACTGCCACTGGTGTAAACCCTCAGCTCAGGTTCAGTGTAATTATTAGGTGCTCTGAGAATCCTACAGGTGCATGCAGGTGGGGGGTGGGGGAGGGGATTTGCCTCCTCTGATTTATCGTATGAGCCATTGGAAATATGTTGTTCAACATGCAAAACAGCTCCCTCTTCACTTTTTCCACTTTGACATGTTAACAGCATAATCAGACCACGCTCACAAACGCAAAAGCACTGATGTACAGATCGACAAGCAACCAGTCAAGAGCTGCCACTGAATCTGTTGATGCCGTGGAGTAACCATCACTACTAAACACCTTTGACCAGGTAGGAGATCATTATTATCCATTTAGTTTTTAGTGGATGTATGAAGACAAGCTGAATCTAAAACTTAGAAAAAGTAGTTTTGGTCAGTTTGACCTTTTCCTTAGACTATTTCAACGAAGTTTGAACGGATTGAACTCTCAATCTTTCACCTACAATTGCGATGGTTGTTCACAGAATAATTTCTGTTATTTCTTCTGTCTTTTCCTCTCCACAGGTCATAACATGCAAAGAGCCGACATGCAACACAACTCTTCTTTTAATTCAACAGCCGATGATTGTGGAGCCATAGTTTATTTTGACCTTGGCATTTCAATTCAGTCGATCAGAACATTCTTCCTCGTTCCCATCTACACTCTGGTTTTCTATCTTGGTGTCCAACAATGGAGACAACAACGCTCTTTCTCAGCAGCCAGCCACTCTGATATCTTTACCTTCAATATGGCTGCCCTCCAGTTAATCTGGGTTGGGGGTACAGTTGTCTGGGCATGGGCTCTATCCACTGGAATTCCACAGATAGTTGCAATGTACCCTTTTCTGTTTTCCATCGCTTGGTTTGGAGAGAACTTCTTTCACGTCCTGACTTGTCTGGAGAGATACCTGGCTGTTGTCCACCCCATCACCTACATGAGGCTGAGAAATGCTCGAGGAGTCAGGATCAGGAACATCAGCATAGTCTGTGTTTGGGTTCTGACCCCTTTGCTGAGCGGCTTTATTTACGTGAACTTTCACCCAAGTATGCCCATCATGTTCCTGATCTTGTTTGGCGTCTGTTTGGCTGCTGTGACTTTCTGCAGCTTCTCTGTTCTCTATGTTCTAATTCGTCCTGGTCCCGGAGAGGGAGGTCGGGATGGGGGACGGGTTGACCGATCAAAACTAAGAGCTTTCATCACCATCACTGTGATATTGGTGGTGCTGTGGCTGTGGTTGGGTGGGATTCTTGTTTCCCACTCTCTTTACGGCTCTAATCTTATGGGTATGGATGTCAAGTGTTTGTTGCTGATGTGCGCTTATCTGTTCAACATTCCTAGTTCGATGGTCTCACCTCTGCTGTATCTACACAGGGCAGGAAAACTGTCGTGTTCCTGGTACAAAAAAGGCTGAGATGAGCATTAGTTTACATTTATATGATTGAAGGACTGTGTATAATATATATCTATGTTCATCGTATCTATACTTTCTCCAGGTTTATGATCCAAGCTTTCTGTATTAGTTACAACAATACCCAAAAAATGTGTATGCACTTGTGTGTATGAAAATAAATAATACATATATACATATTTTTTTACACATGTTTGCTTCTTCCTACTGAAACATGTTTCACATCATATTTTAATTCTTTTTCATCCTCTTGCTTCGGTTTGATCTGTATTTAAAGGACTGCAGAACTCATGTTTTATTAAAAATCTTCTGAACTCAGACCTAACCAAACTGCAGTTCCAGGGGTGTCCACCTCAGACTGCAAACTGTCCTCCCATCAGTCAAACACACACGAAAACGCGAGAAAATTGCCCCCAGTTTAAAAATACCAAAGTTCCCCGCGAGGCATGCTGGGATACTCAGTGAGGCTAAAAATCTACCTGTCCCACTTCTCCTGCATTGGATGATAATTGCGCCTTTCAGGAAAGCAAATGAAATAAACCTTGTTGATTTCTGGATAAATTTACCCTTGCGCTGCCCTAGCAGGGTCAAAAATACCCCCCCCATGGCATAGATAGAAATTTTTAACTCATTTGAACTCATGACTCCTGATGTTCCAGCACATCTCAAACAGCTCAAATGTGTGTCCACATGGCTCAGGGGATAAGAACACTGACTGGGATTCCTGAGGTTGTGGGTTCGAACCTTATTCAGGACCAGTTTTAAAGTCAAGGTGCTAAAGTACTAAGATAAAAGCACGCAGAGCTCATCCCCAAGTGTGGATGGTATCTGGTAGCGCAACTAGAACAGTTAATGGTTAATGAAACGGATAACTTACATTTTTATCACTGTATAACCAGCCTCCAGTTTGGGCTTGTGACGCCAGTTTATATCAAATACAATAAAACAAAAGTAGTCTACAACCTGGATTTAAACGAGCAGAGATGATGGATGGCATCTTGTAATGCAGCGTGGTTCATTAGTGTGTTAATGTAGAAAATGGATTGTTTAGTTTCAAATATCATCTTAATAATTTGGTACTTTTGTTATCCTTGAGCTTCCCACAGTTATAGCGAGTTAATGTGCGGAATAGCAAAATAATGTGGAAAAAAATGGAGTCCAGAGTGATTATGAAGTTGTTTTGACACATGCAAAACAACTCCTGCGATCAGACATCACTTTGCAGTAAAAACATCATGAATAACCCGAACTCTCTTTAGTGTGATTATACTTTTAGACCAGGACTGGTGAGCAGCAGCTATTCAGTGTGAAGACCTCAGAGAGGGACTATCATCAAGCCGACTGATAAAGTGAGTGATCTTTTATTGTGTTAGGCTAATATTGCCTTTTGATGGGTCACCTCTTTTGTTCAGAGCAAATCAAGTTGAATTGTATTTAAATGATAATCTGAAAATCCGACATTTTTAACTGGTGTGCCAAAAGCAGTTCTGTTATTGTGATCCGGTTGGGTTAAATGAGATTTTAATGATCTGATGTGATTTTTGTGTATTTGAAAATACGTGGATTTAATTTTTTACTCACTAAATTTGCATTGAAACACAATCTATTCCAGTTTAATCTAATCACATCTGTGCTAATCTAGTCCAGCCAAATCAAGTCTAGTGAAATTCAATTCAAGTTAACACATTCAAGTTAGTTAGCTCAGTCCAATCTGGTCCAGTTAAGTTGATTCAGATCCAATCCAATCCAGTCCGGTCCAGTCAGTTCCGTTCCATTCAAATTGTTGAGACTAATAAAATCCAATCCAATTTAGTGGAGTCCAGTCCAATCTGGCCAAGTTCAAACTAATTCTGTGAAATTTAATTTGATTAAGACCAGTCCAGTTCAATCAAAAAAAATTCAGTCTCATCCAACTCCATCCAATTCTAGTCCTATCCAGTCCTATTCAGTCTCGTCCCAACTCATCTAATCTGATGCAGTTCAGTCCACTTCGTACTCAGCCAATCCAATCAAAAACAATTTAAATTCCTTCAGTCCAATCAGATTCAGTTTTTTCTAATCCAGCCTAATCTAATCTTGTCTAGAACTGACCTGTATGGAATAGTCGCTTATTTTTTCAAATCTAACCGTATTGTGAGGGAGAGATGTTCACCATATATCCACGAACTAGTGTGACCATTGAGGGCTAGGCATCCTCACAGCTGATACTGTTGTGACCCAAAGATTGTGTTCAGTGTAGGTTTCAAAGTATCCTTGTTTTGATTTGATGTTTGACAGCACACCTCCTCCTCCTCCTCCTTCTTCTTCCTCCTGTCCCTCAGGTTTCCATCTGTTGAAATGTCACTCAACTCCTCGTCGACCGTCAACACCTCTCTGAATTCGGTCAACAGAGATTGTTCAAACTCTGATCTTTCCAATTTGATCATAATTATCTACGGCATAACCAGAGCCATCCTCCTTTGCCCTCTATGTATCCCAGTCCTCTGTATAGGTCTTAAACGCTGGAGGAAGAAGTGCTCCTTTGCAACCGAATGTCACTCAGACATTTTCACCTACAACACCATTTCTTTAGAGGCGCTCAGAGTCTTGGGGTTGATTCTTCACTGTTTGCATAAACTCACTGAGGTCCCAGAGTTGCTGACAGCAGGATATTGTCTTTATACCATCACTTGGTTTGGGGAGAACGTCTTTCACATCCTGACCTGTGTGGAGCGGTACTTGGCTGTAGTTCACCCCATCACCTACATGAGTCTGAAACATGTCCGTGGGAGCAGGATCAGAAACGTTGTCATTGGTTGTGTTTGGCTGCTGTCTCTCTTCTTCACCACGACATTACTCTTCCACTTCACCTCAATGATCCTCATTTTGAATCTTAGCATGCAGGCCGTTTCTTTAGTAAGCGTCTCCTTCTGCTCCTTATCTGTTCTCCATGTTTTAATTCACCAAGGACCAGGTGAAGCCGGACACGGAACGGACCAAAAAAAGCAAAGGGCGTTTTTCACCATCACAGCCATATGGGGAGGTTTATTTTTGTGGTTCGAGTCAGACAAAGGGCAGTTTAAGAGTAGGTGGGTTGTTTGATGTTGGTCTGCCGTGATTTCTAGTTCGGTTCTTGAGTCTTCCTACCAGAGTTTTCCCTTTTTTATGGAAGTGCCTGTGCCCAAAAGTTTCTGTCCTGCCATCTTTCCTTCCTCAGGTACTGCGATGGCTTGATGCCTTCTCTGTATCTGACACTCATGCCTTTTCCTGCATGGATAGACAGGACGCCATAGCAAATTCGTGGTCTGCATATGGTGACCATGGTCGGCACATATCCAAGACTCCTTCAATTGAGGATAACAAAGGTGCCCAACTTTTTCCCAGGCCAAGAGGGATGCGTCACTTGTCCTCCTTTTCCCAGGATAGATCAGGTTCATCCTTCATGGCCTTAGGAGTCATTATGTGCCAATCTGTATGAGATGATAGACTAGGCTTAGAAATATGCACTAAAACATTTGAGCTTGGCTTTAACTTGATTAAATAGCTGGGAATACAAATTACAAAAAAACGCCCATGTAGCTTCTACTTTTCTCCTTGACGAGGATGCTGGGTCCTTTGACGGATGCTATCTTTTCAGTGGGACACAGGGTCTCCAGTTCAAGGTTTGTCACTAAGTTCTCACGCCGGGTTTTGCTCAGCAGACTTATATAAATCTATTTCTCCATATAGATAGTTTTGTCTTTGTCAGATTGTGAAGATGAGAAACTTTCTGTAAACACTCAGCACGGTCAGCTGTCAGGAAAAAGTGATAGAAGGACTTTAGTCTGATGGATGCAGTGTCTGTACTGACAAAGCACAGGTGCACAGGGAGGGGAACTGTGCGGACGGGTAAAAGGATTTGAAAGAAAATTTGCCTTCTATGTTTTATTTGCTTGAGTTATGGCAAATTTGTTATCAAACATGCAAACCAGCTCCCGTTCCCCTCTATCCGACTCATGGACGTCATTAATATCCCACAAGTATTCAATCGTTTCTGGACCAGAGGAGTGTACAGCGAGAAATGAGACCACAGATGTCAGAAGGACTGCCAACAAAAACCTCTGTAGTCAAGGTGAGTTTTTTCAGCGATTACTCAGTGATGTTTGATGGTATTCTGAAACTTTGTGTTTGGTTTAAGTGCTTTTTGAATTTCTAGTTCGGCTCATGTTGAACATTTTGATTTAAAAGAAACATCTCAACAGTTGGATGAATTTCCATCCACAAAATCTGGTCAGTGATTGGTACTATTCGGTGCTCTAGTGCAACTTTACTTTAGATGGCAGTCATAACAAGACTTAGTCAGAACTTTTTGGTTGTAAGAATCAGTTTCAGAATTATCTTGGCTGTTGACCTTGTAAACCTTTAACAGTTTTTTCTCCTGCCGTCCTCCTCAGGTGTCCTTCTGCAGATAGTGGAAATGTCGGCAAACTCTTTGACCAGCAATTACTCCACTATTGTTTGGGCACACAACATAAGCACCCCATTCCTAGTTTGTAGCATCATTGACACCACTTTCTTCGCCACCAGATCAGTCCTCCTCTTCCCTCTCACTGTCCTCATACTCTACCTGGCTTACCAAAGATGGAGGCAGCAGGGCTCTTGGACAGCTGTGAGCCACTGTGACCTCTTCACCTACCACCTGGCTGTCATGGAGTTGTTTGATATTTTAGGTACGGTGTCCTTGCTTTGCGGCCTCTTGACTGGATTCAAAGACATAGTGAGAGTGAGCCGGTATTTATATTCCATTCCTATCACTGGGGAGTTCTTCTTTCACAACCTGACCTGTGTGGAGCGATACCTGGCTGTTGTTCATCCCCACACCTACATTGGTCTGAGAAGTGCTCGTGGGGTCAGGATCAGGAACACCATCATTGGGTGTGTTTGGCTGCTGAGCTTCGCCTGGATGTTAAAAATATCTCTGTATTATCCGTTGTATCCCATCGTTCCATCTCTCGTCGTCTTCACGCTGTCTATAGTTATCATTTCCTTCTGCGGCCTCTCTGTTCTTTGTGTTCTGAGTCGACCTGGACCCGGACAAAAGGTGCAGGACAAGGAGGGAGTGGACCAGTCAAAGAGAAGGGCTTTCTACACCATTATGGCTATAACGGGGGTTCTGTTTCTGTGGTTTTCAGGGATTATGGTTGGGATTGCTGTGCGAACCTCAGTGCAGCTCAGTGACGATGGAAAATGTCTGATGGAAAAATGTGCTTACTGGTTGAATGTGCCCTGTAGTTTGGTTCTTCCTCTTCTATATCTACACAGGGCGGGGAAACTGTCATTTTCTGTTAGAACTTGTGGAATTAAATAAAAACTGGATTACATTGAAACAAGTTAATGTGGGGGTGCTGATAGCGGTAATCCAGTTTGTGAATATCATCGAATTTTTAACCTCCATATGTGATTGACATAACTTTATTATATACTTTTATTTCTTATTAAAATTGTGTATGATGTATAGATAGACACTTTATTGATTCTGAGGGAATTTCCAAAGCTGGGTAACCGAGTACAAGTGTGATATTAAATGTGACTTACAAAACTCATGATTGTGTGTATTTTTAATGTGTGCCACTTAGCCAAGACATCATTCCACAGGGTTCAGTTCTGCTCGAAGAACTTTTAAAGGGAGGTCCACTTGATTAATCTATGGCTGAGAAAAGACACCAAATCAAAGTTTACAGGGTCGGACTTACCCCCAATTGTCCACCGCATCTGGAACGGCGGCAATTTTCACCATCTGCCAATTCCTACCAGATCCGTTGGCAAGGCGAATTTCGTGGCAGATTACAGACAGCAGGAATGGCGGGAACTCACAAGAACCTGCGGATTCACATGCAATCCCGCGATAACACGTTGTTTCTTAGCAACAGAAGCCGGATGTTTTATTTTGTGTCTGTGCCCGACTTCCTTTCCAGCACAGGTTAATCCGCAGCTGAACGGAAAGAAGCCGGTGGAAATTGACACGTTAACTTGAATGGCTATGATTGGCAGGTAAGGCCTTTTCATAGCCATTCCGGATGCGGTGGAAATTTAGGGTTACATACTTCCGTGATATGGTTTTCTTTCCCATGTACATACTGTCCTTTTGATTGGACCAAAACCTGCCCAGGTGTTTTGCACATGGTCCAGAGTTTGCATGCTTGCCTTTGACTGAGAAGTTGAACAAGATAAAAGCATTGTCAGGAAACTGGGTAGATGTAAAAAAATGTTGTACAAAATGTACAGGGTCCAAAACTTGATGAGGTTTTCATCCTTCAGTTTCCACTCCAGTTGAACAACAACCATAGCTTTTATCTGTGCATGTAAATATCCTGAGTTTGTTGAAGCCAAGAGGACCACAATTCTTAGGTCCCTAAACCATTTATGCTCCATGAAACACCAAAGCTACAACAGTCCCACAATGTCTTCAGGCAAACTTCTACTGCCGTATCACCCTGCCATCCAAGAGTTCCTTCACCTTGTAACTGATCCTAACCAAGAAGGTTGGTTAATGCTTTACTTGGTATATCAATATATTCTTCCACAGAGGGACTTGAGCTAGATGCCCCCACATTACTCTCACAATGTGTTAGGACTGATCCTCCAAAGGGAGGTGTCCAGGAGATATTCTGAAGTAATTGTTGAAACCATCCTGGTCCCTTTCCTTCAAGCTGGTGGTATTCCATATCTGACAGACACTTGGCTTGCATCTCGCCTGCCAAACCCTGAATTTCCACCGCATCTGAAATGGCTACTATCCGGAATAGCGTCGATTTTCACTGTCCGCCAGTTTCTACCGGATCCGTTTGTGAGGCGAATTTAATGGTGGATTACGGACAGTAGGAATCATGAGCACTCACAAGAACCCGCAGAATCACATGCAATCCAGTGATAATGAGTTGTCTCTCTAAAGACAGACACATAGACATATAAGCAGTAGATTGTGTCCTTCCAGAGGAGGAAATCTACTTCTAGACTTCTAGAATCAGCATCTCCTCATCCACGGTGTCATCGGGGTGAAATGACGTCTAAAAACCTTTCACTTGTTCGTCTCCGCCCGTTTGCATGGTGTGACATACCATCCACCTGAAACACGGAGTGTTTTATTTTGAAAAGAAGCCGGATGTTTTATTTTGTGTCTGTGCCCGACTTCCTTTCCAGCACGGGTTAATCTGTGCTGAATTTATCCAGCAAGCTCTGGCATCTGGAAAAAATAGAACTTGTGCGATCTGCAGTGGAACGGAAAGAAGCCAGTGGAAATTGACCCATGAACTTGAATGGTTGCGATCAGCTTACGGCTAATAAGGCCTGGAAATTGGGGGTAGCCCTGTGCCTGAGCGTAATGGGACCCCAAGACCCTAACCCCTTACCTCCAGACAGGTGCTATTCTGTATCTGACTAATACCTGACTTGCGCCTTTTCTGACCCTATCTTACTTTATGTTCAATAATGTTGGTGCTTCGTAATGCTCAGAAGAGGCTATAATTTGATTTGTTTGATTTGTTTTTAGTTTGAATACAACCAATTTATCAGGGTATGAAGAACCGACAAAACCACTGATGATAGATGTTTTGTTTTATTGAACATACAAGTTGTCAGAAAATTTGCCTTGTCATAGTTATTGAGTTATTATAAATTTGTTTTACAGCATGCAAAACAGCCACCCTTGCGTCCCATCAGTCTGATACATGAACAGCAATAACCATCTCCTTACTGCTCACAAGTGTATCATCATCCTTTTGACCTGCAGTCAGTGAGTTTAAAAGCAAGAAGGTGGAATCACCAACAAAGACTACTGATAAGGTAGGTGTTAGCACGATAATGAGATCAATCCAATCAATCCTGAATTTTCTTTCTTTTCTTTCACTGTACCCTATTGAAAGTAAATTTGAACACAGTTCTTTCTCTCCTTGTCTTCATCAGGTGTCCACCATCAAATATAAGACATGTCAGCCAACTCCTCATCTGCCTATAACTTCTCTCTTGGTTCTGACCTCAGTAGCTGCTCTTCCTCCACACTCTTTAGTAAACCTCTCACTATTTCCATCAACACTGCCAGAGCCATCCTCATCCTTCCCCTCGCAGTCATCATCCTCCATCTGGCTTGCCAAAGATGGAAGAAGAGGGGTTCCTTGACGGATGCGAGCAATTGTGACATCTTTACCTACCACCTGGCTGTCATGGAGCTGCTGGGTATTTTAGGGACAGTCTTCTCCCTTTGCAGCTCTGTTACAGGGTCCAAACAGATGGAGAGAGTGGGGCTCACTTTTTTTGCCATTCCGTACTCTGGAGTGACCTTCTTCCATGTCCTGACCTGTATGGAACGTTACATGGCTGTCGTTCACCCCCACACCTACATGGGGTTCAAGAAAGTCCATAGGTTTAAGTTTAGAAGCATCATCATCGGGTGTGTTTGGCTGCTGAGCTTAGCGTGGATGTTGTCAGTAATGCTTAGCTACCCTCTCCTACCAGCCACTCCATTTTTGTGTATCGTGATCATCTCTTTTGTCATCATTTCTTTCTGCAGCCTGTCCGTTCTCTGCGCTCTGATTCGTCCGGGGCCTGGGGAAGCGGGACAGTTCAAAGAGCGGGTCGACCAATCAAAGCAAACGGCATTTCAAACAGTGACAGTCATTTTGGTGGTGCTGTGGTTGTGGTTCATGTGCCTCCTCGTTGTCTTTGTTTTAAACTCCTCACAGTTGCTTCGCCCCACAGTTGCGTGTTTTGTTAAAACATATTCCGCTTGGTCTAGCTTGCCTAGCAGTTTGGTGTTACCTCTGCTGTATCTGCAGAGGACAGGGAAACTGAGAGTTTGCTGTTACACCCAAGGTTAAGATGAGTATGGGAAAGATATGAGAGGGTACAAAAGCATAGGAGATAACCATTTTGTTAGATACTGAACTGAAAAACAATGGTCTTAATTGTTATCATTTCACTTTAGAATACTCTTAGATAGATGTTTCCTGTAAATTAGCTATAAATATGAATTTGCATATCCTAGACATTAAAACATCACAGACTAAGAATCTCATGATGGACATTATCTTCAGATGATTGAGTAGTTGCAAGGCCAATCATGGTGATATTAAAACTATGTCATATTCAGGCTCTGGTGATGGTGTGTTTAGCTTTCTTTCAAGTGCCTCCCCAGAACCCGTACTCTGAGACCCTCCTGTTAGCTCTAAGAGCTGAATTACAGTGGTCTTCATCTTTGAATCAACTTGGACAACTTCTAACAAGGATAATCCATCACTTCAGTCACTGGAATTACTGTGTCACAGGTGCAGACAGGTGACTGTGTTTAATGGAAATTGGACAGAAAATTTGCCTTCTGAGATTTATTGACTTTGATCATCACGAAAATGTTAATCAACATGCAAATCAGCTCCTGCTGCCATCGACTGTTTTGACATCTTTGTATAAACATCCTATTCCACACCCTTATGCAATCGGGAGTTTGATATGATATCTGGAACAGAAACAGGTGATCAGCAGTCAGTCAGTTTGGGGATTTGAGAAGACGGTCACCTGAAGAGTCTGCAGACCAGGTGGGAACTTACATTCACGACTTCATGATTCTGTTTGGTGTTCTGGTTTCTGACTGTAGTTTAGTTTGAGTTATAGAAAGTTTGTTTATTATATTCTGTAGTGTTTGTATTAGAAGAACAGATTTGATTTAAAGTAAGTGTCCTTTGTTTTCGTCAGGTGTCCATCTTCGAAGATAAAAAATGTGGACCAACTCCTCATCCATCCACAATTCCTCTCTTAATTCGTCAGGCAACGATTGCACAATTGATTTAGCTTTCCAAAGTTCTATTGCAGCCTTCAGCCTTCTCAAAATGGCCCTCATCACCCCTCTTAGCTTCATCATCCTCTATCTGGCTTACCAAAGGTGGAAGCAGCAGGGTTCCTGGACAGCTGAGAGCCACTGTGACGTCTTCACCTACCACCTGGCTGTCATGGAGTTGTTCACCATTTTAGGGACAACTGCGACACTTCTGGGCTATTTCAGCAGGTTCAAAATCATGGTACAAGTTGGCATGAACTTTGATGCTGTCCCTTACAGCGGAGAAACCCTTTTTCACGACCTGACCTGTGTGGAGCGATACCTGGCTGTTGTTCATCCTCTTACCTACAGGGGGCTGAAGACTGCTCGTGGGGTCAGGATCAGGAATGTCATTATTGGATGTGTTTGGTTGCTCTCTTTCGGGTGGATGGTAAATGTGGGTGTACTAAATGATCGCACAACCCTTATCTTAATTTTGTGCATGATGGTCAGCTCTTTGGTCGTCATTTCTTTCTGCAGCTTGTCCGTTCTCTGCGCTCTGATTCGCTCCAAGCCTGGGGATGAAGGGCGGGGCAAAGAGAGAGTTGACAAATCAAAGCAAAAGGCATTTTTCACCATTACGGTTATTTTGGGAGTGCTTTGGTTGGGGATCCTGGGCTTCATTGTTGCCCTTTTCATAAACACCTTACCTTTATTGAACACAAATCTTCAGTGTATGGTGTTAGCATTTTCTTCCCTCTTTAATCTGCCTAATACTTTAGTGTTACCTCTGCTGTATCTACACAGGACGGGGAAACTGTCATTTTGCCTTCAGACTGGCGGACGAGGTTGAGCAACATCAACCATCGGCTAATGTCAAAACAGACTCTTCTAACTGTTTAAGCCTGCCTTTTCCCTCTGCTTCCTCTGTAAACTACGACTCACCTCCACCTGAACTCCTGCTTTTCATGTTGTATCTGATTTTACCAGCGTTGTATGTATTGCTACCAAGTGTCCCCAGTAGCCAAATGCGAATTGAGTGATGTTCAAAATAAAGTCGATGTAACACAGAGGTCAACATGACCCTGTCCCGGTTTTTTAGGAAGGTGTTACAACCTCAGATTTAAAACGAGTGAATATCTGCAAAAAAAACAAAAACAATAAAGTTTAGTAATTTAAAGAAATTGATGTATGATTGTATTTTGTTGTATTCACATTCACATTTATAATCCCCCAATTTTCCACCACCTCCGGAATGGCTACCAAATAGGCCGTATCCGCTAATCGTAACCGTTCAAGGGACTCAGAGAGAACTTTGGTTGGTAACTTTAATCACAGTGACCTTTACCTGGACCCAAAGTGAGTCTTTGATTCAACTTGGACAACTTCTAACAAGGATAATCCATCACTTCAGTCACTGGAATCACTGTATCGCAGGTGCAGACAGGTGACTGTGTTTACTAGGAATTGGACAGAAAATTTGCCTTCTGAGATTTATGGACTTAACCTCAAACAAATATGGTATACATTACGCAAATCAGCTCCTGCTGCCATCAATCATTTTGACATCTTTATATAAACATCCTAACCCACACCTTTAGGTATGATATCTGGAACAGAAACAGGTGATCAGCTGTCAGTCAGTTTGGAGATTTGACAAGACGGTCACCTGAAGAGTCTGCAGACCAGGTGGGAACTTACATTCACGACTTCATGATTCTGGTTGGTGTTCTGGTTTCTGACTGTAGTTTAGTTTGAGTTATAGAAAGTTTGTTTATAATGGTCTGTATTGTATCTATAAGGTGAACAGATTTGATTTTAGAGTAAGTGTCTTTCTTTCTTTGTCAGGTGTCCATCTTCAAAGATAGAAAATGTGGACCAACTCCTCATCCATCCACAACTCTTCTCTAGATTGGTCACACAAAGAGTGTACAGATATCAACGTTTTTAAGATTCATCGGGCAGCCTTTTGCATCACTAGAGTGGCCCTCATCGCCCCTCTTACCTTCATCATCCTCTATCTGGCTTACCAAAGGTGGAAGCAGCATGGTTCCTGCAAAGCTGAGAGCCACTGTGACGTCTTCACCTACCACCTGGCTGTCATGGAGTTGTTCACCATTTTAGGGACACCTGTGTACCTTCTGGGCCTTTTCAGCAGGTTCAAAACCATGGTGCGAGTCGGCCACAACATAATTGCCCTTCCTTACTGCGGAGAAACCCTTTTTCACGACTTCACCTGTGTGGAGCGATACCTGGCTGTTGTTCATCCTCTTACCTACAGGGGGCTGAAGACTGCTCGTGGGGTCAGGATCAGGAATGTCATTATTGGATGTGTTTGGTTGTTCTGTTTAGGGTGGACGGTTGCAACAATTACCTCCAGTCATCAAACAGTCTATTTTTCTGTGTTGGGCATTATGGTCATTTCTTTGGTCGCCATTTCTTTCTGCAGCCTGTCTGTTCTCTGTGCTCTGATTCATCCAAAGCCTGGGGAAGGAGGGCGGGGCAAAGAGAGAGTTGACCAATCAATGCAAAAGGCATTTTTCACCATTACGATTATTTCAGGGGAGCTTTGGTCTTGGTTTGTGGTCTTTATTGTTGCCCTTTCCATCAACACGTCACCCTCTGTGAGTACAAATGTTCAATGTACGGTGTTAGCAGTTTCTCTCTGGTACCATCTGCCCAGTAGTTTAGTGTTACCTCTGCTGTATCTACACAGGTCGGGGAAACTGTCACTTTGCCTCCATACTGGTGGAAGAGGATAGGCACTCTGATTTTAGTTTCTGTGTATCTAATTAAAGGTACTGGGGGGATATTTTGAGTGAAGACCAACAGCATTTAAGTTGACACTCTCCTTTGTGATTTTCTGGGTCAACAATAAAGTAGAGCTGATTCTGACACTGGATGACCTAATTCAAGTCTTCCGATCCAACATGTCAGAACAGACTCCATATTGAAACTACCTAACTCTGCCTACTCTTCTTAAATTATCTCAAAATGCCTGACAATTAGCTTTCAAGCAAGTTACCCCTTTTTTTCTGTTCTGTCTGATTTTTAGCAGTGTCTTATTTGATGCCACTGAGGTCTTCTCGGCTTTGTACCCAGGGGTCTTTGCCCCTGCTCTCCCTGGCTTTGCTTTTGTACATACATGAGAAGAGGAAGGAAGATTTACTCTCCTAGCCTACTGCCTTGACCTACAACCTACGTAGGTAGACCTCAGAACAGATCTTAGGGATCCTATCTTTCCTTTACCTGACGTCCCTGTCCTAACATTTATCAAATCTGTAGATGTCCTTAGGTGTCTTTCAAAGACACCAAAGGACAAGTGTGGTGATCTCCTTGAAATATTTGTTCCTTTCTCATCAAACAACCCTGGGATTGCTGAGATTTTGCTTGGCATGTCAGGTGTAAAAGTACCTTCGATTTATTTCACATTGTCACAGTACCAGCTATAGTGACTACTGTGGACAGTGCAGCTGATAACAAGGGCATGTACCTATGACAGCTGGCTGAAGGACATAGACCTAAACCGGAGTAGTGTGGCCTGATGACAGTGATAGGGACTATTTAGCAAAAATCTCAAGCAAACCCTGACAAACAAGAGAAAAATACCCTTACTCTGGGATTCCACTGGATCCGGAATGGTTCTGATCCTGAACGGCGTTGATTTTTCGCCATATGCCATTCCGGATGTGGTGGAAATTGGGGGTTAGAGTCTGTGAGAGCAGGGGCCGATCTCACAGCTACAGAACATGAACTCAATCAGTGATTATGTAGACAACAGGGATGTTGAGCTATCCTCCGACGTGAGGACGGAAGTTGATAGAGAAAAGGCAGGGGTGGAATTACAGAGGGGTGGATGCACATGAGTTGTTCTTGTTGTGGGTAGGAAGCAACATCTTTGTGTATCATCTCAGTCTTTGAATCGACTTGGACAACTTCTAACAAGGATAATCCATCACTTCAGTCACTGGAATTACTGAGTCACAGGTGCAGACAGGTGACTGTGTTTACTGGAAATTTGACAGAAAATTTGCCTTCTGACATTTATTGACTTAAGCTCAAACAAATATGGTATACAACATGCAAATCAGCTCCTGCCGCCGTCGATCATTTTGACATCTTTATATAAACATCCTAACCCACACCCTTATGCAATCGGGAGTTTGATATGATATCTGGAACAGAAACAGGTGATCAGCAGTCAGTCAGTTTGGAGATTTGTGAAGACGGTCACCTGAAGACTCTGCAGACCAGGTGGGAACTTAAATTCATGACTTTATGGTTTGAGTTGAGTATGGTTTAGTTTGAGCTTGTTTATTATATTCGGTAGTGTATCTATTAGGTGAACAGATTTAATTTAGAGTGTCTTTCTTTCTTTGTCAGGTGTCCATCTTCAAAGAAAGAAAATGTGGACCAACTCCTCATCCATCCACAACTCCACTCTGGATTCATCCCACAACGACTGCAGTAATATCAAAGATTTTCAGACTGATGATATGGCCTACTACATCACTAGAGTGGCCCTCATCACCCCTCTTACCTTGATCATCCTCTATCTGGCTTACCAAAGGTGGAAGCAGCAGGGTTCCTGGACAGCTGAGAGCCACTGTGACGTCTTCACCTACCACCTGGCTGTCATGGAGTTGTTCACCATTTTAGGGACAGCTGCGACACTTCTGGGCCATTTCAGCAGGTTCAAAATCATGGTGCAAGTTGGCATGAAACTTTTTGCTGTCCCTTACTGCGGAGAAACCATTTTTCACAACTTGACCTGTGTGGAGCGTTACCTGGCTGTTGTTCATCCTCTTACCTACAGGGGGCTGAAGACTGCTCGTGGGGTCAGGATCAGGAATGTCATGATTGGATGTGTTTGGTTGCTCTCTTTAGGGTGGATGGTTCCAGCAGGTGTGTTTAGTGCACACACAGTCAATATCGCACTTTTGACCATCATGGTCAGCTCTTCGGTCGTCATTTCTTTTTGCAGCTTGTCCGTTCTCTGCGCTCTGATTCGCTCCAAGCCTGGGGAGGAGGGGCGGGGCAAAGACAGAGTTGACCAATCAAAGCAAAAGGCATTTCACACCATTACAGTTATTTTGGGAGTGCTTTTGTTGTGGTTCATGGGCTTTATTGTTGCCCTTTTTGTACAAACCTCACCCTTTGTTAGTGGATATGTTCAGTGTCTTGTGATGGGAATCTCCTTCTGGTTCCATCTGCCCAGTAGTTTTGTGTTACCTCTGCTGTATCTACAGAGGACAGGGAAACTGTCATGTTGCCTCCAGACTGGTGGAAGAAGATAAGCACTCGGAATTATTTGTGTTGTTCTTTTTCTTGTATGTACGCCACTTTGGATAAAAGTGTCATTACATTATAGATTACATTGTAACATTGTATTTTGGTAAATGTAATTTAACTTGGGTATACAATGTCTGCAGTAATAAGTCAAGGTTAGTCTACAGCCTGACACCAGAAGTCCAAGTCCTCCAAGTCAGCTCGTCCAGGGAGCAGTCAGGACGGAAACACCAAATATAACTGATCATGTAAAATGTTTCCCACTACTTGACAAATGTTGTACTTGGAGAGTTGTTTTTTTGTTTGATTGTGTTGATATGAATGATCACATGAATAAAGTAGATCATTAGAATTTACTGGCTTACCTTTTTCAACACCTGAAAAATCTGGTTTATATTCAAAACGGGTTAAAGCATGATGACATACCTGTATTCAAGTTATAAGGTAAACTAGTGAATAATGACTGGAGTGGTTCGGTTTTCTGCCCATTAATGGACATTCACTGTTATCAGTGATATAACGTCTTGGTTTAGACAAACAGATCAGTGCTCGAAGGCGGAAAGCGCTGTAACGACTTTGACTTGCAGATTTTGCCACTCAGCTGTAATCGCGCTGACCTTCGTGATCTTCGGGAAAGATACATTTGCGTACTGCGATACCCCGTATTACAGTATGCATTGAGGAACACTGACATAGAAAATAAAGATAAAAACAGTTTTGGACCTTTCAGTTTTATCAAAGTATTTAAACAGGAGTTAGTGACAGATCCAGAGTTAGGATATGATAGATATCATATATGATAATG